GGTCGTGGGTTGTCGACGGATTTTCAGCAACCTTATGAGTTGTATATTACAAATATAAACACACTAAAGGGTTTTATGAAACGCGACGCGACGGCCAACTACAAACCTACGAACAACATGCGAAGGGAGCCACCAAAAAGTAAAGTTGACTTTTATGCTAGACACCAACGTCACATACGAGATTTAAAGCAAGGATTTTGACGAACGCTGTATGAATAAAGATAAGGTAGCTTTGCATCAGAGGTAATGAACACAAACTGGTTCAGCGAGCAATACCCCCCCCATCGACCCCTACAAAGACCAGAAAAGATTAGGGTTTGACTGGAACGGCATTTGCATAAGTTCTGAAGCAAGAACGAACAAATTGAATTTTTGAAAGCGCGGTGCTCCATCAACAAACTTACTGGGTTTGGTCCACTTCACCAACCACTAAAGACAAGACAACGGGAGAACTAGAGAGCTCACAAGTGTCCAGGAACCAGACTGAAAAGCTCGTAGAATGTAAGGGGAAACCCGAGTCAGACGGACAAATCAAGTTGATTGAGAGATGCGTCTAGTCACTGAAGTGCAGAACCAAAGTGAGGGCATTTAGTCAACCGGCCAGATACGGGGATGCCAAAGCTTAGAATGTAGAAAACAGAGCAGCGCAACGAAGCAACCAAACGAAAGAAAATATGGTGAAAACGTAGCGGTACCGTTTGACTGCATAAATGGTCGAATTTGACTTCCGCAGCCAACCGCTCTTCAGTAGATTCAGGACAACAGCTCAAGTTGGCAAAACCTCAAGTGTGTTGGTAGCGGGCGCGGAGCTAGAGGGACGTATTTCTCGAGATCAATTAGAAAACGAAACTACAGTGCAGATTCTTGATTCATAGGTAGTTTTAGCACCACAGATTCTCTAATTTTCATCAGACTCCCTTCGTAGATGATTATCTACACCGTCCAGAATTTCTAACGGACTCTTGACTAGGTGGTTGATTTAGTGCATGCCTGATCAACCTGATTATGCGTGCGCTTACGTCAGTTGGTCAAATACCACTTTGTCGTATAGCCATTTAGATTGGTTTAGAATACTGAAGACGATAAACAGAGCCTCTAAGGAAGTCGATACTTACATTCTTTAGAGCATAAATGGTAGGGGATCCCCTTCATAACCGACAGTTCTTGACGAACTCAAAACGTCTCATAGGATCATGCATGGTGTGTAGGTGAACCAACGTATTCGGTACTTTTTCTCCGGCTAGGACAGTTACATCTGGGCTAAACGCTCCCCAGGCAGCCCTCTAAAGCAAATTCCTCTGAATTTGAAATTCATAAAAAGAATTTTTTCAGACCGAACCGACCCTTTTTTCCCTAACTGAACTGCAGTGTGCTTCATTACTACTTCCGGTGGATAACCAACGGAACCGATATAACCTGCAGGTATTTAAGTCGATGGTGATTTCCTCCAAAAAAATTCCCCTCGCTGTTTTATATCGAAACAAAACTGAAGAAGGGGGTTGGTTCCGCCGGACTGAAATTCGAAGTGTTTAATCGTCTCAGCAAGACATTTCGATAGTCGGGAAGACAACCGTCAATCGTTTTGTGTCAAAACAGCAACTTGGTGTCTGAATGGACGTTGTTGATTGACTGAACTAGATCGATCGTTGATTCAGTGGTCACTAAATACACGTTCCGAGATTTAATTTGTCTTCCACTATCATTTCAGCGCTGGCCGATGATATATCTGCAAAGACAGGACCAACGGGAATGATGATGACACTCAGTAGGCTTGTAATTGTGACATTCTATTTGGAAAAACGAGTAGCCTCTTCATTCCGGTTGCTGCTGCATTTGTGTTACACCCATTCGTAACGCAGAAAAATGCATTGTGCGTCCAATGCGCGGCATTTCTAGCCAAACAAGCTGCAACTCGTTGAACATGTGCGCCCGGCCTAAATCTCTCTTCCGCCGACCATCAAGTACCTTCCTGCTACTAACTGCTTCCGGCTGGCCTGTTAATACTTAATGAAGGGCTAGTGAGATCGCCACCTAGTCTGGTTCTTGCTCACTGAATGTGGCAGTCCAGCGCTCCTTGGTCTCGAAGTGTCGGCAATATCCACTTTCTACTGAGGTCTGTAACTGTGTGTGAAACACATCTCCAATATTCTGACTGTTTAGAGGATAGACAATACCACAAAGAAGCACCTGGCCCAACCTGAAGGTTTTATTTCCCCAGGTGTTCACGCGCGGACCACGGAGTCCACGAGGTAGCTGAGAGTGCGCATCACCTAGCACAAGATACATTGATGTTTTGGCCTCAAATGGCATCTCACTATTGAAAAACTAGAGGTAGATTCATTCACTCCTCTAGCGCAGATCCACCTAGTCCGTTTGACCAGGGTCAACCAATTCACTTCGAAGCGTGCAGAGGAGTACTGTGTAAAACCTCTGACGATTCGTGTGCAGTCGGAGTGCGTCAACGGAAACAATGGCCTGTCTGTCAGGAGTAGTCAATAACCATACCGTCCGTGAAATGACGGCCTTAGCAGTTCCCTCGAATTCTTTATTTTTCGCTTCTCATGGTTCCGATTACTGCACTGCGGAACATCAATTGCAGATGCCAAAATGTCGAGAAGTAAAACTAGGCAAATCGATTACAGTGTGACTAAATTGGAGATAATTTTCGAGAAATACACTCATCTGCAAATAAATTTGGTTTTCACGGGAGACTCAATTGAATCTCTCGTCTGTGATGTTCTCCAGCTGAATGTGCTGCACACAGGCCGCCTCATGATTCAGTTGGCACGATATTCGAGATATCGAAGTATATTTTCATAAAGGACACTACTCACAAGGTTGCTGTCAAAGAGTTTTCAGCAACCTTGTGAGTAGTTTCCTTTATGGAGATAATTTTGTTTACTAGGATCATACTTTTCTGATCATCCTGAATCTCTCAAGTTGACTGCACTATTGCAAGCTGATGACTCAGTTCCGACTCCTGTAATGTTCGTAAATGGTAACGACCCCTCTCCCGGTTTGGAAGAATTCCAACGCATCGCTCTTTCAAGCATAGCTCAGTAATACCTCAGGTGGGTTTCAGAACAAAAACGGTCGTGGACAAAGTCACTTAAACCGTCCTAGGATTTCACTAATGGTAACTATTTCGGGCAAGTCACTTAACCGCCAAGCGCTGGCGACAACAGGTCTGTGACGTACTTTTCAGGACCCGGTGGAAGTGCGATCTGAGACTCTCAGGTTCCATATGGATCTTCAACATATCTCTGAAGTAGTTGACCTACGTTAATCACCATTCCAACGACAAATTGTCCATGACTGTACAGCTTCGAATAAAGATGGAAAATACTTTCGAGTTTGCCAACGGTGCTATCCAAGTGGCATTTGGCAAGATGCTGTTGACTTCTAGGTGTCAGAAGCAACCGTTCTGCGAGTACATCAACTGGTATTGGTTGTTCTCTGTGCAGTTATCGTTTCAGAGATCCACCGACTGTTTAACAAACCTCTCTGAAAGGGAATCGATTCGGTTTTGGTGGGCCGCGCAGTTCTTGATTACGTGGAACCGATTTTAAAATAAGACTATTCACACCTATCACGATTCCATATTCATTCCCAACCGTTTCCGTGGATGTTTGTTGGTTACAGTCACAGAGTCAATGACGAAATCGCCGGAGATGCTACTCTGCAACCCTAGTTAAATAGTCCGTCTGATTTAGTTCCGGTTTAGGAGCTGGACACTGCGGAGATTCTGTGTGAACTACAAAACTACCCTGGAAATCACTCAGTTCTTTGTTTGTGGCCACCGAAATGAGCGAACTGTTCTGGCTGGATTGCGCCAAAATCAAATTGGTTCGCTGCTTCCGGTACTTTCCTGTCGCATTTTTTACATTCCACACTGCCGCCCACTGCAGCTGAAGCTGTGACTACACTTTGAATACGTAAAATTCTGCTGCTAGAGATAGGCATACTGCGACTATGCTCCTGTAGGGTATATGGATTTTTTCTTACTGCAGCTCCCCCGAGGAAGCATAAAAGTGGAGGAGCTACTCCACAATTCCCGAAATGGCTAACAGTCCCGAGGGGCTACATTTCGATGACAATGGATTCGTCAATGGTCGACAAAAATCAACCGAATGAAATTCTGACGTCACCAGCAAAGGTTGCACTTCATGATGAATGATGTTACGTGATGCCGGTCTAGACGTATTTGTTCAAATTCTTTGCTCAATGATTAGTCGGATCGGTGGACTGATTTCTGGTTTTGGTTCTGGGACGAAGGGGGCGGGGCAAGTGAAGGGGCATTTCGGCACGGTCACCGGATGGTATCAATGACAAGCCATAACGTACGACAATGGTATTTCCGAAGCTCAATAAGCAAATTGTTGACTGGTCTGTTGATGGAAAACTTGAATCGTTGCAACGCTAATTCCCTTCATTACCTCAACAGCTCAACTTATAACACTGGCACAATGCACGCCACTTGCAGAGTTGTGAAGTTTCTAAAGGAACGTATTTCGCCAAGAGCAGTTTTACTCTACCCCAGGATTGTCCTTGTACAAAGGGCAATGTGGCGTGACACACACCGCCGAAGACGGAAGCGAAGTGACCGACTGACGGCAGTTTTCTATTTCATTCGGCTTGTGAAATCCGTACCATCAACGATACTACCAGTCGGTATGCCAAAGTGCATTGGGATGTGCCCCTAACACGCCAGGGTTGCTCGTTTGTCGGACAAACAGGGTAACGGGGCATGACTGAATTCAGTGCTTGGTTTTGAAAACAATAACATTGAGGTCGATATGCGCTGTAAGAAGCACGCTGTTCTGTTCCCCCATTTAGCTTACAAATGCTTTCTCAAAACACCAACTATGATGTTCTTCCTTGCTGCGAACGTCAGAGACCGTAATGACCTCTAACACGCGTCTAATCAGCAGTTGACCGACGGTCAGCCCATGAAGTGCAACAATCGTGGGAAGTGAGAACAAACACACAATGAATAGAATGCGCCATCTTCGTTCCGAATAGACCGAAAAAATTAAAATTAACATATGCCTGGACAAAAGTGTGTGTGTGTGCGAGGAGGGGTAAAAACCATTTTGATCAAGATAGTGAGGAGAAGTAGGTAAATATATACACAGTGATGATGCATGATGTGCTGTCGTAGCATTGGCGATATTAGCAATCCTACAAGTAGTGTCAAATCTCTGTCAACACTAGCAGTAATAGCAATGGCGTAGACACAAGTCAATTCATTTCAAAACGATTTCAGAGAGCGGCGGTGGGATGGATCATCAATCGAAGCGGATTGGTGGCTCTGGATAGAACACGTGACGGTGCACCAAATCATGTGACGAAACTACCAGGAGAGCCACAGATGTGATGGGGATAATGCTGGTACATTGTATAGGCGTGGTAATGTGAAAGGCGAGCAAGGTACACGTACACACGGAAGCATTGAAAATTTTTTTAGGAAAGGCAAGCAAAATATGAGAAGGGTAGGCTCGAAAATCGGGGATTTCATTGTTGCCAGGCTATCCGTGTGCGCGAGGACCGGTGAGGGACGGGACAGGTCCTATGTTTATGTACACGTGGACGATTAAAGAATTCACCTATTTAATTTTAGAAATCAAAGCTTCAAGAAATAGAACACACACACAAAGTAAACGATTATAACACGAATGTCATTCGGCTGGTTGTGCGCTATCAATCGCACCGGGTGAAGAGAGTCAGGCAGTACAGTGTGTCAATGATGACCCGAAATTACAAACGGTCAAAAGTGAGCAAATACTCTACAATTCCGACTTGTCCAAAAGAACAGAAAAGAAGAAATAAAATACCGCCCGGGATGGGACCGGCGGGGGGCGGAGAAATGATCAAAGGCACAATTACGGGTTGGAGTAGGAAAAGGCATGGACCAAGTGGTGGTCACCGAGCAGAACGGCTATGCATCCTAATGCTTGTTGCATAACACCAAATTCGACTGATCGAATTGACCTATCAAGAGAAAAAACAAACGCAAACAAAACAAGTAAAGGACAACCTGAAGAAACCGAGGGAATGGATATACAACATGAAACCAGAAATTAGGAAACAAAACACGTGGATAGCAGATCAGCAAAACTCTTGTTTTCTCAAGCCACGTCGGACCTGTTTGTCTGTGTGTGTGTGTGTGTGTGTGTGGTGTGTGTGTGTGTGATTACCGCAGACGTAAGCCCCGATTGTTAAAAGCAGAAAAACACATGCGAAACCGAATAAGCAAGCCAGCGCCTGTCTCAAAAAAAAAAACAAATTCCACGTCGAGCTACAAGTTCCGGAGTGGATCGGACATCCTTCAGATGGGATAAAATCGAAAGGACAGGCGGACAGAAGAAGAATGGATTGATTGATCAGCTTTCTGTCACAACAGGGGCAGTTTGGAAATTCGTTTTCTGAATGCCGGTGGTGTTCGTTATCATAGCAGCCTTCGGATCTTGATTGGGAGCATAAGTGAGGTAGGCTGGAGGCATTTCTTGGTCTGTCACTGTGGGAGAGGAGATCGAAGGATCGGTCTGGGGAACAGCTTGCTGTCTGGCGCCAGGTGACTTGTTGCTCGGACCAGAAGGTTTACTCGTGACAATGGCTGCTGCCGTGTGAACGATGGAAGTGGTTGTACTGACTAGATGAGCAATATTAGATTGTCCTACAAGTGTGAGATAAGAGAGTAGATAAAGTGAAAGAAATAGGACGAATATTAAACGCGGCATCTAGCCAGACAATAAGCTTTCAATACTCATCATGTGTGTGTTGTGTGGCTAGTAAACAAGTGACAGAGACGGGATACAATGAACGGAGATCATGAGCACCGCTACCAAAGGACTGTGATGCGGGTAATGGGTGGATAAGGTCTACGTTACTCATCTTCACGAGAGGGTCAACTAGAAGGGCTTTATCAACCAAGGTCTATAAGTCGAGGTGTTACTAAACACAGGTGAACATCACTGTCGTTCCTTATTGTGCGGAGGCTAGCCGTCCCTAATAACTGAACACCACATCATTTGGACGGATATGTCACGTGCAGGACACAAGCCAAACGAAGGCATGCCCTGATAGGTCAGCATGGCAGCCAATCCGAGTCAAGCACCTTTGACCTCTCACGGAAATTCTGGCACGACCTTGTGGAACACTCAGTGACTACCCTATAAATACAGTTGTAATAATCTTCCTTTGTCTCCATAAAGGGCTGTGCAGAGCTACCGTGCCTTTTGATACACCATAGTGGGTGGAGCAGGAAGTCAAGGTACCGATACAGAGTTGCACTACCGTTCAGCAAGTCACAACGCTTAACGAAAAAAAAAGATCGAACATAACGTTCCCATAAGAAACAAGATAACAAACCTTCATCTTTGCGCATGAAAAAGCGGTGAGCCAGAGCCTCCTCGGGACGTATCCGCTGACTCGGATCAAAGACAAGCATTCGCTGCACCAGGTCGACAAACTTTTCATAATCTTCTGGACTGTGACCGGGCTCACCCCGACGCCGTCCCTGAGGACCACCAGTATCTGCACCGAGGACAGTGCGTAAAGGTCGTGCGCCAACGCCAAGGAAGTTGCACTGAAGAAAAGGGGAAGAAGAAGAGACAAGATGTGAATTGGGCTGCCAAACAAATAACCATCTGGCTTGAATATCAAGCCGATGGCTCAATGCAAGCAACATAGCTGGAACTCATAGTATTCCTATCATGTCGATGGCTGGATTCCCCACAGCAATGAGAACTCAATATAGAAAAATATAGCTCCTGACAAATCGATGTGGTATTCTTGTTTCGAAATGAATTACACAGGTCAATAAAGTTATGCTACTCTAGGGCCTGGGGCCACAACCATACGTCCAGCTCTAGCTCCCTTTCGGTGCCTAGCTGCTATGCCACACGAATGAGGCACGAGGGCCGGGATACTGCCAGGTCGCCCAAGGCTAGACAGGGGAAGTCGAGAACCACGGACCTACCGGTCAGTAAACTCGCGCTCTAACCACTCGATCCATCTCACCCCCCAGAGGGCGCATTAGGGTTCCAGGTGCTACGATTCTAGGGAGAATGAGCAGAGAGAAAACAACACAGGGCGTTTACCAGCGTTCTTTCTGACAAATGAAGAATGTAGATAACTCAGTGATACCAGCACCGACTGTATCACTATCACTATCACTGGCCTCTGCTTTGCCTCGTTCATTTCGGATGATACAGCGATTGTTTAAACGACTGAGTTTGTTAGTCGCCACAGAACAATCGTGCTTCATTCGTTTGCACCGTGCACCTAGGGGATATGGTTGTGCATGGAAAACGGCTGATATGATAGGAGAAGTCGATCATTACCCTGGAACACTTGGTTTTCCCAAGGACAACGTGGTGGACTTTAGCGGAACGACTCAATGTTTCCGCAGGATCCAAGTAAAGTCTTGTGTGTACACGATTGATTGTCGTGGCGCCGCCATAAAAAATCGTTCAGCTGTAGCACCCTTTCGATGCCTAACTGTCATACTACCCGAAGGTTGCACGAGGGCTGGGATACTGCCAGGTTGCTCAAGCCTAGACAGAGGAAACCGAGTGGCAGAGGTCGGGTTCGAACCACAGACCTTCCGGTCAGTAAGATCGCACTAACCACTTGGGCCATCTCGCGCTGCCATAATGTAGCAACAACAACTAGGTTGTACAGCACTTGATGATTAAACGAACGGAGTGCGAGCACACTAGTGGAAGAAACAAAAGTGATATCTATTCTGGGTTTGACTACACTGGAAACAATAGAAGCACACGACCATGTGGAAAACGGATGCGTAAAAATCATTATGAAATAAGCATTTAGTTGCACCTATCGTTGCATGATGCCACTCATATGCCGACGATGGTTATGGCAGAGGGCTCGACCCGAACAGCTGACACCAGATGAGCACAATTTTCAGGAAGCCTCACACTACTACTAACTGATTCGGAAGTAGTGATAGATGGGCTTACTTCGTAGGTCCAGTCATTTTTCTTCCATATTCGTTTCGGCCTGTACCACGATGATTCACAAGAGGACGGTAAAAGTCCACTCGACGCGTCAGTGGATTCCCCGGTGGATTGACTTCGAGTGTTTGATGGTGAGAGACAAGCAGAAGACGAAGTTGGCATCGCAGTGGTATGAGTGGCGGCCACGGGAGGAGTGGGAGAGCAGACGGTCTCGAAAAAGACAGACAGTTTGGGGCTTGCCTCGACCATGTGAACGGGCGGAAATCCAAGAACCTCGATGATTTGTAGAATTTGTTCGAGCTGTGCAAGTGAAGAAGGAAAAATATTAAAGTGGGTAAAAAACACGCAAAAACCTGCACGACAAGACTTAAGATCTTTAGCCGAGAGGTGGAAGGCATCCGATGTATTGCCGTTGTAATGACTATCGATACCCATGATGAAGCTCATTCGTCGCAGCTATCGGGGTTCCAAAGCCACTAGGACTACTTTGCGGACGGGGGAGGCACGAATGGGGTAAATGGTTACGAAACTATAATTCAAGGTCGGCAGGTTTTGTCTGTGACTAATGGTGACACTTTCTGAACAAACCGTTCGGCAGAGCACACGTCATTGCAATAATTTCAAAAACAGCAAGAGTCAGTGAAGACGGATGGGTCGAGGTAGTTCAATTTCCCGTGAGAGTCGAGGTTCTGACGGCTTCAGTCCTTGGAACTGTAGTGGGTATCGGAGTAAAAACCTGTGGAATCTCCGATGACGGTTTGAACATGGGGTTCCAGTAATAATAGTAATAATAATAATAATTCAGCTTTAGAACCCTTTCGGTACCCAGCTGCCATACCACCCGAAGGTTGCACGAGGGCTGGGATACTGCCAGGTTGCCCAAGGCTAGACAAGGGAAGTCGAGAGACAGAGATCGGGTTCGAACCACGGACCTTCCGGTCAGTAAATTCGCGCTCTAACCACTTGGTCCATCTCGGCCGGGTTCCAGTAACCCTGTCAGGATTAAGCTGAAAAATTGCCAAACGAACTTCCTGACATCGTTCCAGTCAGATTCTATCCTTGTTCGACGGGATGGAGCGACCGATAAGTTGTTACTAGTCCGGCCTCTCTTTCTATTTTTTTCGCCCGTTCATTTACAAGCCGAACCCTTACGACATTACAACACTGGAACGCTAGTCTTAATTGTTTTTGTCGATTTAATATGATTATGATGTTGATCTTGTTAGAGTACTGGCGATGATTGACCGTCGTGTTGCAATTCTCCCCCCTTAAACTCGGGAAAGCTGTCCAACTTGGTACTTCCCTGGGACTTCATTACAGCTACATTAAAACAAAACACACACGTAGATGCCTCGACTGCTTCGAACCTGGTGAGGCATTTCTGAAGCTTTGGCAAACTACTAGTTCCTGCTGGAAAATAACGGAGTGGGTGATCCTGAAGAGACGAAGTTTTGGATCATTGTGGCAATTGATATGAACCTCTACGTGAACAAACTATGGGGAGACAGCCAGACCAATGAAAAACACTTTTAATTCGGCCTAATGGGATACACGCACTACTCGGTCTTGTTTATAATGGCGCCCGGGCAAACTGTCGCTCCCTGTCCATTTCGAGAGAGTTGGGTAGAATGGAAGCTGTTCGTGCTTACACCCCAGTCCCAACACAGTAGCGAGGATGAAAGCTTGTAGCGTCGTAACACATAATGACACTACGGCTGCAAAGACGGGGAAACTGCAAAGAGCTGGTCGGATCACACTTGTCAAATACGTCCGTCTTACTATCAAGAGGATCGGCAATCAAATCCCACACATACAACGTGCTCCGTGATTCAAGCAGCAGCACGGCAGATGTTTATGACAGATATGATGGGTTCGGAGTTTGCGTGCCCTTAACTTCCACTCAATCGCACACCCACTCAACCGGTTACACACAGAGACGCACAAGAGAACAGAAACATGTGCTCCAGTGCGGCCGCGTTTTCGCACACACATACACACACACACAAAGGACAGCGCCGAAGACAACATCAACCGGAAGCAGTGTCCTAGAGACGGGGCAATGAGCAACAGTGAAAAGTGAAAACCAGGACGTCAGGTTTGCCCATGAAATCGCTGCGATCGACTGCTGCTCCAGTCCAGACGTGGATTTATTGATAAAATGAGGGTTGGAAAGCATCACGACGGCATGAGCCTATGGATGACGACAAAAGTTGCGCAATTTCCATGGATCTGTTGAAGAGAAACTCGGCAATTTCGCTTTCAAAGAAAATCATACCGTTGAAGATGTGAAATATCCTCAAACTGACGATTGACTTGGCACGACACCCAATCCCGTACCAAAATAGTATGTACAAAGTGCGAGAGAAGTAGAAACAATATGGTCTCTATATCAAGGCCACTTCTTCATAAGTATCGTTCCCCAATCCGCTACTTTGTAAATAAAGTAGTCAAGTTACTCAAGTTAGGCGTAGCCGATCGATCCCAGATATCAATTGGACCTCCAATTCCGTGGTACAACTGCGAAAGGAACAATCAGAATATATTGTCCGGCTTAAACCCCTTTCGGTGCCTAGCTGCACCCGAAGGAAGCACGAAGGCTGGAATACTGCCAGGTTGCCCAAGTCTAGACAAGGGACCTTTCAGCGATCTAACCACTGAGCCACCTCGCCCTCCAATCCGATGAGAGTTTGTGTTTGTGGGATCCAATAGAATACTCAAACGATCTACTAATTCGTACAGTGTGGCCACAACAAGTCAAGAGTCAACGCGAAGGCAAGCAGAGGTAAAATGCAGTCCAATTGAGTGCGGCTCGGGAGTGCCGATTGACTGGCTGACGCCGTGGTGATAGGTCGCTCCGATCAGGCGGAAGGGATGAACGGAGAATCGACCACAAATGGATATAGCATACAAACGCCTGAGAGCATGCACACAGAGGCACACAGACCTCCAAGTAGAACAACGGGTGTGGTACGCGGTCTGAGTCAAACTGTGAATGAATTGAGTTGAAACATGTACGAATAAATGTAAATCGACAAAAAAAAGGCTAAAAATGGGTAAAATGAATGGGGCGGACTTTGGACACATAGAAAAACAGAAGTTACAGTACCACTACAAAGACAGGGGATTGGGTGGCGTGTGACAGGCATTGATCGGAATCGATAAGCGCCATGAGAAAAAACCAGGACGCTAAAGTAGAACTTCGAAAAACGACTGATGCCATTGTGATCCACCGGCCAAACACTGGCTTGTGCTAAAATTTGAAACTTCAATGGCCACTCTTACGTAGACTACACGAGTTATTACCATTTGATACCCCTTGTGGATAGCAGGAGATTCGAGAATTTCTGATAAAGCCGTTCCACCCTTCTTGGGGGTGTGCATCCACGAAGTCTCGAAAATGTGACCCTTTGGCCACAAGCGGAAAACAAGGTTACCTGTCGTACATTGACGGTGATAATATCGAACCCAAGTTGTTTTATTTTTGCGTAGCACTGTAATTGTGCTCAACAAAACGCTGGTTTAGAAAAGGTCAGAACCTGAGGGATATAATACTATAATTTTGGTGTAACAGTCATCGATCCAGATTTGAACAGGTAAAAACCGCGTGGTATAATGTGTATGGTGTACACAACTGAGGATTATTTGACAAATGGCAAGTAGGTTTTGGTTTCGCGGAAAAAAACTGAAGAAAGGGGGGGCGAGTCAGACGGAGATAACTCAGCGGAAAGGCAGTGAAACGAGGGTTTGAAACACCGCGTAGATGAAAGATTTCAACCGAACCAAATGAAATCCTGCACGGCCAGGAGGCTTTTACTTTTACAGCTGGAATGTGCCACAAAAAGACATTTGTAATAAAACGAGTCTTGACAACAGCAAGGTTTCTAATGAGTGAAGCCAACAATATAGATTTACCTGGGCCCCAAGAAGAGCGAAACCGGTCGTGGGCTGTCGAAGAGTTTTCAGCAACCTTTTGAGTAGTTTCCTTTGTGAGAATAGCTTTACCTGATTCCGACCGCATCGACAAGTAGTAGCAATCCCTTCGGCTTGCTTCCTACATACAGTACACACAAAACAGTTGTTTGTCTTTTCAACCTCAAACCGTCATTATCGCTTCAACTGCATCTGCCGTGGATGACATCTTAGACGAACGGACGTAATGCAATCGCAGACCACTACAGCTGTCGATCTCTGCCAGGTTCGATTAAAACATATCCGCAAAACTCACCATTTTGTTGACGCAACCTTCCTTTCCAATGTGAAGTAACGGACCGGCAGCGGGAAAGTTCGTTGAACTCTTGCTGATTACTCACAATTTCTGACCTGGCTGCAGGCTCTTCCACTTTGGGTTCAGAATTACTTGGGATTCATACTATGCTTATTATGCTTTATGCGAATGAGTGAACTGTACCAATTTGTTCCACTTCCTACTTGATGCCTTCTCTATCCGGTGTCTAGGGAGATGGAGATACAGTGTGTTAAATATCCGTTTGGATTGACACCAGATGCGCATAGTGGGGCCATGTACTGACAACTGCGGCAGCAGTTTCGAGTCATGGAACCCCTAGGGCCCCTGCTGATAGATATCGGTTAAGGATGGTAGGACTCATCTGCTTAGCACGCCGGTAACCGCCGAGACAAGGATGAAGAAACGATTTCTCAAAATTTCTGACCTCAAGAGCACCTATTCCAATAAAAATTAAGCGCGAATGGAACGAATCATTAACATAACAGGAAGGTTTTCACAAAGGAAACTACTCACAAGGTTGCTGAAAACTCTTCGACAGCCTACGGCCGGTTTCGCCCTTCTTGGGGCTCATCAGGTAGGCGCAGTCCCCGAGTTTCCGTCAACCTTATGATCTACTTGAACCCAGGAAGGTTGCTGCGAAAGCACCGATCACGATGAAACTAGCAACACAGCCCCGTGGAAATCTGAAATCATGTGCAACGAACACCAGCCGAGCTCTCCGGGCGAGGACAAAAATGCGATGTCATTTAAGTTGCAGAGAATCGTGCAACTAAAACGGGACTCACCTCGTTCGATCCAGAGAACAGGGGTTCACCGGTGTGCATTTCAACTAGGATACAACCAAGTGACCACATATCAATTCCGAGACCGTAGTCCAGGTTTAGGAGGACTTCGGGACAGCTGGACAGGAGAAGAACAAAAGACAGATCAGGACGAGTGCGCAATCTGGGTTGAAATGCCAGACGATACCTATGTCGCTTGTAACAAGATCGAGAAACAAGCAACGTCGTTCTAATCGTCAGGATTCAAGAATGCAACGCATGAATCGCGACATAAGCTCCCGACTCGTTATGGGCGCCTAAAAATACTTAAAACGCTCGCGAACGTTTACTGATGATACGAAGATCATTGGGTATCGACTGAACCAAGACAAACTAAAAGAAAAAAGTCACTAACAATCCGTTTTCGTTAAATTAGTAGGCACCGTCTAACACACCAATGTCCAACTGTGTGAAGACCGATGTAGTCAGTAAAGTCGAAACGATAGGTGATGGGATAAAGCCATGCTTAAGGGTGAACTTGGAGACTGTCAGTGTCCTCCAGGATTCGAGCTCACAGCCATCTGCATAGCAGATAGCAAAACATCCCATTCGCGCCACGACTGGCTGCCCAACATTGCGGAACCCCAATTACCAGTAAATAACAAATTTCAAATGCGGTCCAACAGTGCCTAGCCTAAACGTAAGACCTTCCTCAAAACGCTGCATCAACAAGATACCGGATAACATAAATCAGCTCACAGCGATGAATAAGCGCACGGACATCAGAAAGAGAATAAACTATCCAAAGGGTGAAAATCGTGTACACTTTCCCTGGGAATCGATCTATACACACGCACACACACACACACACACACACACACACACACACACACACACACACACACACACACACACACACACACACACACACACACACACACACACACACACACACACACACACACACACACACACACACACACACACACACACACACACACACACACACACACACACACACACACACACACACACACACACACACACACACACACACACACCTCGTTATCCCGCGGTTAACGAAAACACACCTATAGGGAAGACAGAGAAATCCCAGTAGGAACGCAGCGCCCACCCTGGTGGGTTACAATTAAAATTGTATCAACTGCGCGGTAGGTCGTACAGCTTTTCGCATATAGGTGTTCAGTAGGTGTTCTTCCCTAGGCTCGTTTTGTTGTTCAGTTGCCATGGTAGAGGATTAGAGGTTGCAGATGAGACAAACGAGCAACTCAGCAGGCATACTATGAATTGTGAGGGGTTTGAAGTTAGACCGTTTGAACAGTTTTCAGCCTTAACAAGGCACCTTTCACTGGACCATCATGATTTTCCGTGGAAAGGCTTTGGTTCGGTTATCAGGCTGAACATCTTCCTATTGCTATTCCGGGGAGCGAGATGGCTCAAGTGATTAGAGCGTGAATTTGTTGACCGGAAGGTCCCGACCTCTGCTTCTCGACTTCCTCAGTCTAGGCTCGGGTAACCTGGAAGTATCCCAGCCCTCGTGCTTCCTTCGGGTAGCATGGCAGCTAGACACCGGGAGGGTGCTACAGCTGAGAGATTTTTTTCATTGCTAGTTCTATCGTATCACGTTGCACTGCGCTGTTTTGAGTAGTGGTTAAATGTATCCTGTTACATCGCATTTGCGTATTTCGTGTATGTGATTGTAGGAGACCCACAGTAACACTCCAGGCATTTAGGAGTGTCGACCGTACACCGGCGCTAAATATTACTAAAATGTGGCCAATGTTGCTCACATCTAACGGAGCAATGGTCAGCTTCAGTTAGCCATGGGCCAAAGGTGCGTCTGCTGAGTAATGCGGGCCATCAGATCCTCCTTCGAGTGCACTGAGGGGTTCAACGGTTCAGCTGAATTGACAAGTAGGGACCAACAGCTGGATAGGCTGGTGGCTTTAGGACCCCCTCCCATTAATCCTCCGAGCTAATCCGTCGATTGCGTCTAGGTGAGTGTGCATGCAGCTTAGCGAAAACAGTGTGACAATGCCCGTTGTGTCCATCGACGTACTACGATATGACCAGCCGTGGCGAATACGAATGTCTAACCACTACACAAACAAGAGCGGAAATGCACCAGCGATGAACACTTCTGAGCCGCACTCCGAGAACAATGCACTAAAACAGTGGAATCAAGCCAACGCACTTTGCGATCCTCATATGACAAGAACCCAGCGAACAACGACAGACAAACTTTAGCTGTCCGATTAGAAAGTGACAGCATGAACGTTACAGTGGTCGACTAAGTGCCACCATGTCATGCAGGGTTTTCAACCCACGTTCAAAAGTCACACTGATGTCAGCCAGGAATACCCTGTCAATTCGTGCATCTGTCAAGGCCTATACTCCTCGGATCCTTTGCCAAAATGGATTTGGAATGGAAAAACGGCATCTTTGGCAGATCCGGCATGCATAATACGTTAGTCTTATTGGTTACGCACATCGCCCTAGTAATTTAACGATGTGATCAAACGGCATGTGCTGCCTTGCAGGTTGACGAGGGACACAGTCGAGTAAATACCAGGTGACGTTGGAGTCGCCATCTGCATCGAACCCACGCAAAGATCAATGGTACCGACCAAACCCGAAGTAGTAGCATGTCGTAATGAAATGAAGTAACACGCATGCGAAGCAATTCGCAAGGTTCTTATGTATCCACTCTGGGAAACAAAAACATGATGGATATTGTACTGAAGAAAGCGACTGGAAACAGATGGTTATCTGGCAAATTTTCTACGCTATGCCAACGCTATGCCATCGAATTAGCGACGTCCAGTGAGGTAAAGGGGGATCGAATATAGGTTCTTCTGCACAGGGATCACAGTAGTTTCCAAGAAAATTCAGTGGAACAAACCAAGATAACTGCAAGGAGATACCTGGCTACGTTTATGGAAGTCTATCTCCCCGTCTGAAGAGGAAAAAAGACCAATCGTACACGCACATGCCTAGCATCGTCCAGTTGCTACTCATAAGTGATCTTCTTTCTTTAGTAGTAGATTTTAGTGTTCGAGTTGGCTGAGATTCAGAAATTCGAAAAGACAACAGGGCGTTTTGAAACTGGATCACCAGGAAACATCCTCTGCCCATACGTGCTACTGGACCTGTTCTCATCTTGGATAAATCCTGGGACTGCACGGATTCGTCCAAGAAGTGGTAACGGGCATCCCGATTGGGTTTGTCCGATAAGGTGATGTCAAAGACATTCTCCTCAGCAAATTGATGCGCAGTGCTGAATGCAACATGACCAGCGATAACGTGCAAGAATCAAAAGAACAGTCAACAAAGCCGGATTTCGGAAGAGACTCGGTGAGTGTCACGAAACTTGTGTTATCCAACAGACTGTCAGAACCAGCTCCATGCAGGCCTGTGGACGAGTAGTAGACTGTGGTGAAACCTGCACTGCAGATAACTAGGATGTAGAAACCAGTGCCAAAGGGTTGGTCACACGAAAGCAACGCTGTGAGTTCGTCCGCAGTGGAATAGAAGAATGCGGCCTTCATCAGAGTGCCGAATAACCCGAGGAATTCACTCACCCAAAAAGGATTTTGAACTACAACAAACCATCTCTCGGGAGTGCTAGATTCAGCTCAAGAGTGAACAGTGGACAAAATGCAATGAAAATCCAATTTCACGTAGTTATTTGAGAAGCATTTGGACGACCCACCAGCGCCGGAAAAGCTAGACGGCGATTTCGCGAATCGAACACCGCAAGACCTCTACAAATGACAGGCCACCGATCGAAGTGTCCAAAGTTGGCGGATAAATGCTAGAATATGAAGTCTGTTCGCTAGATGTTCCACAGGACTACAAAGATGTCATCATTTTGTCCTGATGTATGTAGGGGGATTGCTGGCAAAGTCTTCGCGCATATTCTGGCTAATCGTCTGATTTTAGATGAAGTCGATCTGGAAGAATAGGGTGGATTCCCAAGCCGGTGACTGAAATGTTTCGGTGACGCAAAAAAAGGAAATACCATGGATGCAAGCAACTGCTAGATATCCTATTCGTCTGCTTCACACACTGTGAGGAGATGAGTATTGTGGATCATTCTTCGGATGACCACCTGTCCAAATAGATCTATTCAAATTGTCAGACGCTAATGGCCTGCAGATTTCAACACTGGGAGAGGAGCTGGACTGCATAAAGGTGCGAACTTTATTCAGCTTGCATAAAACTGTAACAAACTTGAAGAAGCTTGGAATTATCAAACAAGGCATGGCTATTCACTCATTCCATTCAAAAAATTGCCAGGCCAGACGAATGCTGCGTGACTCGAAGGTCCGTACGCTGTTACTTTTCTAACGAGTGAGGTCTAACTACACAGTCTGAAGCGAATTCGCTGTTTTTAAGGACATCATGTGTCTGTGACATCCCGTTTTGTACGTTCAAATGTCTGCCTGTCACTGGATAGCACTAAGTGACCAAACACAGAGGCGAATCTTAGATGGACAGGGTATCGCTCAGCAGCAGTCCAGTCACTGATCAGAAGACGACAATGTTGAAAACGCGGATATCGAGGGTTAGCATCATGCCTGAAGAGGTCACAGTCTACCAACATCCAAAAACCACGCGAAACCATTTACTGTTTCACTACGCCCCTCTGCAGCAGCAGAACATGGACAGCATAACATCCGGATCGTCGATGAAGTAAAGCAAATTCACCGTTTTTTCCCAGTGTGTCAGCCAGAGGTTGTATTCACATACATCACCTGCTATTCACGAGAATGTGGATAGCTCAGTTAGCACATCTGATTGTCGTCAAATTGCCAAGCTCAGCGAACAAACCAACGGCCATTACGTCATTCGTTGCTCACCTGACTGCGAAATCGTTCGTGCCATATGAGTACGCTGTTTGTATTGCGTTTTCATTCTTGTGCGTAGGTCCATGTGTCTACATTGTGCTACAGTATGGAATGAACTCTAAACGCAAGCTGACGTCCCTACTGGACTTACACGCGACTGCAAAGCTCTAAGCTAATACGTAGGTCCATGTGTCTACATTGTGCTACATTATGGAATGAACTCTAAACGCAAGTTGACGTCCCTACTGGACTTACACGCGAATGCAAAGCTCTAAGCTAATTCAGACGATGTCAGAGCTTGTTCACTTCGGGGAGCGCTGTGGTGCATCGACCCGTCGATGTGCCCGCCGAATGCCAGTGTTCACGTTTTTATCCCACATGAAGCCGCGTGTCTTCGAGTGTTCGACAATCGTTGTCTCAAAACCATAGGGTTGATGTCGGCGAATCCGTGATGAGGCAGTTAGAAAGCGCGTTTTCGGTTGTGCAACGGGTACTTCCATTGAAGAATGTGTCCAGCACGAGAAGCTGTGTTCGTTGGAACATGTGTTGCGTATACCTAACCATCGTTTGCCCCATTCAGAGTGGCGTAAACAGAGAAGTGGTCAACCCTTGACCTGGCAGAGGAGTATGAAGGAGATCATGAAATGCTTGGGTGCTGTCAGTGCTACTCACCTTTCAGGATGGCGACCGCGTGATCCTCACTGAACCTGGTTGGAGAAACTACAAGATATGGCTTCCAACCAATGGCAGTGGCGTCCTTGTTGCCAGTTTCTATCCAGATCGCCTGAGTGAATGTCTGGAGGTATAGGCACCTCGGAATGATTGTGGTACGCTAGTACTTGGTCACTTCCCCGTCCACCTTTACTCTTTTCTTTACAACAAGGCTTTCAAATAAATCATGGTTGTACGGCAGTGAAGCATCGGTGTTGAACACTGATATCATGCTGTCGATGATGATTTCCAAAACGGATGAAGTAGAATACCTACGAATTTCCATCATTCCTCTGCAGGTCAGACAGTTGTAAGCATCCAGATATATGGTCATGATGGCTTAAAATAACACCTGAAAACCAAGAACTAAGGCGATCAGTGCACAGTGCTCAGAAAGGGTGCAGGATGGAACCCCAGTTCCAAGTTTAGCAACCGACGGAAAGGCGTATGGAACGGTTGATAGTATCAGTTCTGGAAGGGGGACATAAGTTAATCCGTAGCTGTAGACCCATGTCTGTCTGAATCAAACATGAGAACGGCGTCAGCGGTGGCTGCTCTGGACCAGTCCATGAGGAAAAAAGACAAAAATCAGGTCCACTACGTAGTACGGATGTTGTTACTGATAAGAGTGATTGTTACTACACACACACACACACACACACACACACACACAAGACTTTCACCACACTCGAAGACGCAGTGGGAGAAAGATCAAGAAAGCAGAAGCGTGATATAAGCCAAAGATGATAACTCACCGATAGAAACGAGACTGGATGTACTGATAGACCTTCTCGGACACATGACAGGAGCTACCGAAATCGATAACTTTGATGGCAGACCGTTTGGGATTGACAAGCAGAATGTTTTCCGGTTTTAGATCACAATGAATAACCTGGACATCAGGACGGGAGAGAAAGACAAGGGCAGCACACAATTGTTGGGCGAATTTCCGAGTGAGATTGAGCGACACGCCACGATAGTTGGTGTTCACGAGCAGGTCGTACAGATTGTAGGAGAGTAGCTCGAAAACGAGGCACAGGTGACCGTGGTAGGTAAAGTGGGCTTTAAGGTTGACTGCAAAGTAAGGGGAGAGGAAGTAAATAAGATGGATGAAAGAAACAGTGGTGGTGAAAAAGATAACATAATAAGATATGAGAAACTGTGGAGGGAGGCTAGTACCGGACTAAGGCCAGGGAGCTGACGCAACGATCAACTAAAAGGCTTCAATAGCGGTGAAGTACCTTTCTCAAATCCACAGTCTTGTAAAAATAAAACCCGCAGATGCATACAATACCATAGAGAAGGGTGTTGGATTCGAAACTCATGATGACTTGGAGTGGGTCCTTTTGAGAGAGTTAGAAATGTTAATAAAGTTGCTACTACAAACACTATACTTGACGGTGAAAAAAGATAACTGTTCCGCTGTAATACTCTTTCGGTGCCTAGGTGTCATGCCACCCGAAGCAAGCACGAGGGCTGGGATACTGTCAGGTCACCCAAACTTAAACAGGGGAAGTCGAGAGGCAGAAGTCGTGTCCGAACCACGGACGTTCCGGTCAGTAAGTTCGCGCTCTAACCATTGAGCGCCATCTCGCCCCTTGACGCTGATATACGAGTGACGTTAGTTGCTTCACGCCCTCTAAGTCTCCAATTTGTAATTGCATGTTAATGCACAAAACGGAACGAATAAAATAAGCAAACAGCGACCAGGACCACCACACGAGACCAAAACAAGATGAAAAACGATCCAAAAACAGGTGACCGAGAACTGGGCTAGGCTACCAAATTTAACAATATCGTGCTGTGGGCAGGCGAGCATATGTACAGGATGAGTGCATAAAATTAGCCACGCGGCGCAAAATAAAACAGGGACACGCGCAGCCATAAACGAAAAGGGATAGACACACGAACTAGTGTGTAGTTAGGGTTGTGCGCGTGTGTATCCATATGTATTTATATGGGCGCGCGCACACACACACACAAGTCAGCTGGCGTGCGTGCAAACGAACAATCGCAAGCACTAAACTGGCTCATCAATAGCCACGAAGACGGGAACAACAGGAAGGCGTATGATCAGCTGTGTGTGTGTGTGTATGGATGTATGGGCTGCGCACAAAAGTGACAGAGGCAGGCCACTGGGAAGGATGATCAATGATCTGGGGTGGCGTGAACACATACATGCTGCAGTAGAGGTGCTTTGAGCGAAAATTAAAAACACTGAGGATTGATGCCGGGGAGTGAGTAGACCAGAAACGCAAGATGTGTAGCCTCGTGAAGTAAAATAACTACCATCTTGCACTGAGGGGAGTATCGCTGATGGAGACATCATCAAGGGGTGCAAGAAGGTGTTCCGTAAGCGTTTTATGGTTGAATGGCTAAGAGGAACCGTGTGCGGAGGGGAGGGCTTTACTTGTGTTCGGTATCCGATACCCAAACATCCGATGCACCGGAGACCATCATGTACTGTACTGATCGTCAGTAGTTGCTGCCTTGGTTGTGACAAGCGTGATGTGCACGCATTCTTATCTCAGGGGATGGAGCACCTAGCCAACAGGTGTTAGGTCGCCGTCCACTCTTCTGTCCAAGATCTTTTCGCTTGCACCATGCTTCGCTTGGGTTCCTGTACAGCATAATTCAACCCCTCCTACTGACAATCGGGCTTTCATTGAAGAGACACTTGAGTCCCAACTGTTATGAGGTTCGTCTTCAGCAACTTTATGAGTAGTGTGTTACGTCTAAATCGATGTCTCCATCAAATCAGTCCGAATGTTTGTATACCTGAATGACACCACCGTCCGACTTATTACGGAAGCCGCAAGAAGAGTTAATAATCGCACTGGTTAAATTCACACTGTTAAGTTATTACGCAGAGATATGGAGAAGCAAGGCGAAACCCAGATGCATATGTGGGACAGCGTCTCCAACGATCTACTTGTTACAGAACTTATTCGGCACTTGACAGACAGTGTGTTCTGTCCTGCCCTCGGTTTTTCATTCGCACTGTTTGAACCTAGTTCGATATTCGAGGTATAATTAGCGAGGACAGCCACAAAGTTAAATGGGTATGGGGCGGCCTAATAAATATGACGTCAACGCAACGGTTAAACGGTAAACATAGACAAATACACTCATTCGCATATCAGTTTGGTTTGCCACGAAAGACTCAACCGAATCTCTCGTTTATGATATTCTCCAACTGAATAAGCTGTACAAAGGCCGGCGCGTGTTTCAACGGGTACGATATCGCAGTGTATTTTCATAAAGGAAACTACTCACAAGGCTGCTGTCGAAGAGTTTTCAGTAACTTTGTGAGTAGTTTCCTTTAGGTCAAGAACATTTCCATCGTTACATCACACCCAGCGGAGTAAATCCACGAATTTTGGAGCTGCAAAGCTTATTACTCTGGGTTTCAGTCACGACAGAATAACAACGCGGGGGGGGGGGGCATGTGCCAATGAAAAGGATGAGACACCTCGAGGGACCTTGTGTACAGTCACATGTTTAGGTCGCCAATCCACAGCAACCGTTAGACAACTGGGACAAAATGCGGCCCACCTGGTCGTCCAGCTGTAAGACCTTTCCGGTGCCTAGCTGCCGTGCTACCTGAAGGAAGCACGAGGGCTGGGATACTGCCAGGTTGCCCAAACCTAGACAGGGGAAGTCGAAAGGCAGAGGTCGGGTTCGAACCACGGACCTTCCAGTCAGCAAATTCACGCTCTAACCACTTGAGTCATCTGGCCTACCTGGTAGTACGCCTGTGTAGGGGTGTAGCTATGGCCCACACCAGCCTGGTGAACAAACACACCTGTGGTCCTTGAGTTACCAGAGCCTCCGCAAGTTTTTTTGCATACGCCATGACCTGATTATTCGCGGTGTCAAAACCGATAGACGGCGAAAAACAAGTGGATCAAAGCATAACCTACTGTTGATTAGTCTGACAAAAACACTGTGTGATTACGCGAATCCGATATCGCGTGTCGGAGGAGTACCGCCCATGAAAAAAAAGAAGAGTTGACGTGACTGCAGATCTCTTCACAGCACACTCGTTAGGTGTGTGGTAATCAGAATGCCGAAACCTCATCTCTAGCTAGAAGTGGGTGTGCTCAGGACCAGCACACTAGGCGTGTATTGCTTACGAACCCTCAAGACGACGAAAAGGCTGATAAGAGCTGATAAAGGCTGATAAAAGCTTAAGTTGGTCCTCCCAGCTAAGAGGTTTCATTGTGCTGCAATCTTTGGGTTTCGGGGCCGCGACGATCCTGCGAACTACGACGAGTGGAATGCCAACAGAACAATGTGTTTATGTAATTCTAGAAACCGCATAACATGAAATTTGGAAGTAATTGAGGCTCAATTAGCGCAACCAATATCTACCTATCAATTGTGGAGTTTCGAGGATTTGCTCAATGGTTCGCACATTAAAAAACGCGATAATGACAGGGCAAAGAACTATGCGAAATGGTAGTGTGCTATCATTCGTTGTCCTGGAAGCTGGACTATACGACTGGAATCTTTGGAAGAATGATCGTAAATCGGGCAAGAAGAGAGTTAGGAGATAGCGCTGGAAAAAATGGAGGGTATCAGCAGTAGTCTATCTTCGCCCACCAGTTCTTATGTATAGATTCAAAAAAGTGCCGTGACTGATGGCGATAAGTGGTGGCCATCGTTGCATGATATAAGTTATTGTACACCTCATGGTTGTGCGCGAAATGAGAACTTGTCGGGGTGCCCAAAACCAAGGACGAAGATTAGGACCCTCAACCAGGATCTTAACCACAAAGGAGCGGTAGTTGATGTGGCACCAGAAAAGCAGTCTAAGATTTTCAGAAACGAATCGTTGCACATGTTCCATTTTGGAAGGGGGATCAGTAGAGTGCCCATTGGCGAACCTGATATGAGAGGCTCCGTAAGTGTCACATGCACCCTCCTTGGTATAACTAAGTTGTGGATGGACACAAACCGTGACACTGGTCCAGGTGCTGGGAAGCTGTCATATATCAAAGATGAGGTCGATCCGTCCTTTATGAGTCTGCTTCTCGTGACTGTTGGAAAGTTCACGCTGCCAAACCAAGGGAGCCGAACTTCACTGTACCTACATTAAACAGCCATAGACCTCAGTCAGTCAAATGACTGCAGTTGTTCGAAGTACAGTGCATTTCCTCAAGCCAATGTCACGACTGTTCACAGCAATGTTACATGCAGATGCGTTCGCTGGTCTCTGGGATGCGTTTACCCAATTGGTAAAAGATGAGTCCGTTTCTTCTGTGTTAACAGGTGGTGAGAGCCGCTCTGGCGTTACAACGCGTTATTTCTTCTCTAGCCAGTCAACCGGAAGCTGCTCATTTAGTCGACCTTTCGGTCGAACGAAAGTAAGCAATGCGCGGAAAGCCAGTTCAGGTTGGATCTCATCCAACTTTAGGGTTAAAGTTTACGGTCGGTGGGTGTATGCTGAATCTTGCAGAACCTTACTGTGATGAAGCGAGTTGGGGGTTGGAACAAATTCGGAGCGAAATCGCGGACAAAGAGGACAACCAGACCAGATGACTCCGGGACAAACTTACCTATATAATTTGCACCAACCTCAGTGGCGAGCTGTTCATTGGACTGGAATGCGGCCATTTCACACAGCAATTTGATCTCGACGCCTGCCTGTTGGAGGAAGGAGCGTTTGTTCTTAATCACTTTAATGGCAACCTCTTCGCCGCTCTCTTGGTCCAGCGCTCGGACAACCTAAATACGGAACGAGAAATAAAAGTATAACAGAGCGTAAGGATATTTATGCTGGGTTCTTCGAGGAAAGAATTTCAGAATGAAACCGATAACTTATGAAACCAAAATAACGTTTCACGCGGTCGCCTAAGCATGAAACATTGGTTGAAGAACAGGGCAGGAAAATGAAACATGTGCTCGGTGGAAAACCGAAACGCTAGTAAAATCCATTCAAAGCCAGTTGTTGAAGATAATCTTCCTAAAGAGGTTAATACTGACCTTATCATGGTAACTGAATCGAGGTGGCGACAGTCAGGCACCTGTGAATCGTTCTTCTGAATCAAAAGTAGCCTAATGTTGGCCCGCACCAATCTGAATTCGGTGTTTGGGTTGCCAGCAATAGGATCGAAGATTTGAGCCTTCGCACGGACACGACGTACCACACACAGACACACACACACACACACACCGTAACCCCGAAACTGTGAGTACTGATACGGACAGCTACACCGTTTTGACACCAATATTAATGCAAGTACTGGCGCGTTTAAGAGAGAACTGCTGCGGTGAAGTTGAGGTCCAGCTTTGTAAAGTTGAGACACAAACGGTGCCCCAAGCTTACTGGAACTCATTAAATGAGCAACAAGGCACGTGCTCGGAAGACCGGGTTTGTTCAGGGTGTGAAGCTGCCAGAGTCGGTGATCGATACCTGTACTTCAACGGTACTGTTTTAAATAAGTAAACAATCAGACCGAGAATCACAACTTTGAGAACTGACACGACTTGCGAGGTACATAAAACATTGCATCCCATTACCCAGTTAACGTTTCCACATAAAGAATGGTTGATGGGTGTTTCGATCGAAGCGAGATGGCTCAATGGTTAGAGCGCGAATTTACTGATTGGAAAGTCCGTGGCTCGAACCCGACCTCTGTCTCTCGACTTCCGTCTAGGCTTGGGTAACCTGACAGCACCCTAGCCCTCGTTGTTCCTACTGGTGGCATGGCAGTTGGGCACCGAAAGGGTGCTACAGCTGAACGATGGTCACCGTGGGAGACGCTTGATGAAGTTTTAATCCTGTGATAATACTTGTAAAATGAACCCCGTTTTGACAGTTTGTCGAATAATACGGTCCAAAAGTGATCCGGAAAGAAGTCCCCACAAAAAAATGACTTCCCAATTCTCGATTCTTCTTCCTTTGGAATCCCTCTTAGAAAGAACATCTCCAACGAGAAAGCGCTCAGTTCCAACACAACTGAATTCTAAATAGCTTGGTCATCCATATAGTTCATCATCTCAGCAGAAGAAAATCTTCCACTGTGCTAACTACCATGCCACCCGAGGGCTGGAATACTGCCAGGTTACTCAAGCCTAGAGAGCGGAAGTTGAGAGGCAGAGCTTAGGCCAAAGGGTGCGTGGTTCGAACCCGACCCCTGCATCTCTACGATTCTTGTTCAGGCTTGAGCAGCCTGACAGTATCTCGGACCTCGTGCTTCTTTCGGGCGGCGTGGCAACTAGTCAGTTGATGATCGGTGACGTCTCGACAACACCAGCCCGGGACCAAACAAAAGGTAGTTCGTCTCTACGATTTATTGTCAGAATATAACACTACACCAACACGCCAGCAACACGAAATTGTCCAACGAGTTCATAAACAAGGGAATTAAAGGGACAGATTAGATTATGGCCCCTTAGCGAATGTACCTACCTGAAATGATTTTGGCGCGTAGGATTGGAGTTCACGTCCCGCGTCTGGTCGAGCGAGGAATCGAAGATGTATCCTAATGTGAGATAGCCTCCATTTAGGGATTTCACGGAATGGCTAACTGCACCGTCCAGTTGGCTGAGTTTTGGAGAGCCTTGTATATCAACACAAGCTACATTATTCCATCACGTGATTATCGATAGCTAATAACAGTGCCTCTCAAGTGTCATGTGAGCAATGTGACAGCAACCGGACCGAATAAGTAAATGAAGCATCAGCTTCTTCGTACGTTCACAGACATCTAGCGGTGTGGCATGAAGGTGGCAATTGTGCTTGAAAATCCACTGCTAAAATAGGAACCAACGTGATCAGAGTTTTACGACCGCGGCGACCAGAAATGCCACTGAAGGCGCTTGATTTATTTCGATTCTTTTTCGAATGATGGAAACAATGCTCAGGGATGATAGGAAACAGGAAAGAACCACAAATGGACTCTCGGTGTTCTACGTTTAGTTTTCGTTACGAGTTGTGAATCCACCTTAGAAATAATTCCCCGCACAAGAGAACAACTTCAGTCAGTTTCGTGATGCCCGTACCCAGCCAGAGATCACCTTTACATAAATAAAAATTTGAAGAATGATTGTTCCTTTGCAGCACCATTTCGGTGTCCAACTTCGATGCCACCCGAAGGAAGCATGAGGGCCGTGATACTGCCAGGGGGCTAAGCTTAAATACCGACGCTGGGTTCGAACCACGAATTTCCCGGTTAGTAAATTCGCGCCTTAACCACTGAGCTATATCGCGCTCACGTTTACATGAAGACCTAGAGACGGAATTAAGCTTCTAGCCTGGTTACTTCAAGTATTTTTTATATTTGTAGACACGGACACAAACACTCACTCCCAGATAGCGAAATGTCCGATACCTACTTGTATGGAAGCTCCAACGTGGAGGCACGATTGGCTACCTCTGAATCCCATAAAAAGACCAAAATGGTGAGAACAGCCCAAATCGATCTGAAGTTCCGTGGAGACTTCAAGAATCTAGTACATGATAGGGGATATTAGTGAAATTAGTATGCGAGGCGACCACATTACAGATGAGCGCTGATGACATTTTCAAGTTTGCATTTCGGTACTTCAGCTACGGACCGTGGATCTGAGGAACATTGGTTCCAGCTGACGGCGTTTCATTCACTGATACACAATCAATAACCGTTTGGCTGTAAGACCTTTTCGGTGTATAGCAACGACTGATGCACCAATACAAGGGTATCAGCGGATTTTTCAATGAGGAAACCGGAAGAACAAACTATGCATTAAAGGCATGGGAAACTGGGCCATGTGCGACAATGTCTCTAACCACTGATGTGTCCCGTTTCGGAGTCCCCATCCAGGGAGACGACAATGAGAAGCGCTGCCACGTCACTGTTTGAAACATTTTGGCTCATTTCCACCATGGTGTGGTTGCGCAAAAATGGTTCTCCGTGGGATGCGATTAGCTGACGTATGGAAGACGTCAGAGTCGATGAAGCTTATAGGGTGTGATCAGTTCATCTACCAAGGGGAGTTATTTCAACCGACGTTCGACGCACTTAGGCATCAATGACCCAGTGCACCACCAGTCGCGAGAAACGGAATACCGAAACAACAGTTCACTGAAGGCTTTAACCTATGAGCGCTTGGGTAGGTTACACCAATCAGTGCCAACAACTATTGTAAACGCGTCTCGGAATCCAGACAGACGGCAGTTGACAACCCAACGCAATGCACTGATATCATATTTCACGACCGTTGCCGGGACACGAAGTGACCACCATTGAGCCGATCCCATCCATCAGATGGCAGGAGGGAAAGACGGGTTTACCATGTGAAGTGAGTGACCCAGTACACTATTAGTCCTAAGTATTGAATTATACACGCAATCTTTCGGAAGAGAACCAGTTAGTCTTGGACCACATCCTTTAGACAAAGTGGTCAGTTCCAAATGCAACAACAGTTGCAGTGTTCTGGTGACAAACACCTTCGAACGGAGTTGAGTTCTGTAGGAACTGTACACAGATCAGGAAGAGTTTCGGTTCAAAAAGCCTACGTATCAAAACGTCAAATCCCGTGGTTTCGTGGACAAGTAAAAGAGCAACATCGCTGTCTATCGAGCGTAAGCGCTTAAACTAACTATAAAATCAGGTGACTGCGATTCTCACGTACAAACAGCAAATTCATTGAGTGCTGATGGTAGTAAAATCGCACAACAGCTCCTCTGAAGCGATCGAACCGACACGGAACGAACGAATGAGCCCAAGCGTGTTGCTGTGATCTGTACGCATCTGTCTGTGTTCCAAACACTGAAATCAGTTCGCGAGCGAGCGAGCGAGTGATCGAGCGGGTGCGCACACACATAAGCGGAGGCACACAAGTGAAGAAAAGACTATGCGCGCACACTCACATGTGAACAACAACCAGGCAGCTAATCTCGTGTAACAAAATGTTCTACTGCTTGGCGTATTGTACCTAACCAGGAATGATTCATCACCAGGCGTGTGTGCCGTATGGTCGACGGGACGCGGGCATCGATCGGTTGGAATATGACCACGAATGTGAATAGATACTGTACCACGACGACGCGCCGATGCACAACCTGATCAGATGGTCGAAAATGCGCCTAGTAGCTGCCGCGATAAGCAAAAGACAATCGGAGACAAGATATAAGCATATGGATCAAATGAAACCTTGCGACTGATCAGAATTGGTGTCATGAAGTGGGCTCGGTGATAAAGTCGAAGAATCGAGCGCGAAAGATCAGCAGTGAGTGACGGTCGTTCGGGGCGTACAACTGACTGCGCACGTCGGACTTCATAGAAATGACAACGTTGCGTTGTGGATACCGAATACTTGTAGCGGGGACGGTTAGCGCAGATCACAATCGAGGAAGTGCATAAGGAAGGACTTGAAGTTCAGCTGCAATCGGTGGCTGCTCAGCCACCGATTACAAATCGCAAATTACAGTGATCATCAACAAGGTCACTACTCCCGTGGGGCGGAGGTAGGTAAGGTACGTTCTTTTTCCGTGACAGTTACGGTGGCGTGTTAGACAGGCTTATCATCACTTCAGCATACGAATCATGTAGCGACGCACTTAAATCCGTAATTCCGTAATCGCTTGCCTAGAATTCAGGAAGGCAACTCTGAGTTCTCACTGGTTTCAGTACAGACTTGGTGGGCGATATAAGAGGGCTATCCCACCTAGAGATACAGGCACCTGATCCTCCAATTTGAACAATAACAGCGTCGAAAGGTTATCAGCAACCTTGTGAGTAGTGCGTTCCGCCCAGACAACAAGTAGTTATGGTTTTCGGTAACAACGTCCTATGCGAAGTCACATGGACATCAAATTGGAGACCTGACAACCATGGGGAAGACGAGCAACACAATCGGACACCATTGTTGACACATGCCACCGAAAAAGACCCTGCAGCGATGGAAAACAACTCTGAAGCACTTCCCTATGGACAGTACCGCGAGAATATTAGGCACATCAAAAGAGTCGCACGCGTACTAGATATCTAAAGTCGTCTGTATGTATACAGTGGAAGAATGTGAGAATGCATTTTCAGACGAGGTCGACTAACCTGTCCAAATGTGCCTTTTCCGATGAGAGCAAGGATTTTGTATCGGTCCTGCCATACATCTCCAATACGTACGAAACCATGGAGGTGAGCAGAAGCGGGATAGGGCACAGGAGCAGCAACTGTGTTGCCGGTATTCAGTAGTATTTGCGTCGATCCATTGGTTGTCGCCGACGGATGCGTCCTTATCCCGGAAGCGGCGGTTGCAGCAATAGGTTGGGGTGCTGCCAGATGCAACCCTTTGCTGTTTGCACCCACAGAACAAGTCAGGGGGGCTCCGGAGGCTCCTGGAATAACAGTGAGATAGACGTGTCAAGAGCTCCAGGTACGAGACAAAACTGAAAGATAAAAGGCAGTGAGACTTACCGGAATCGTACAAATGCAGATGTTGTAATTGGTGATGATGGTGTGGGGGAACGGGCGGTTGTTGCTGGTGTTGGACTCCCATCGAAGCTGGGAAATGACTTGTTGTAGGGGGATGTTGCAGGTGCCTGGTTGTTCCAGAGTGCCGTGTATTGATTGCACCAGCCGCAACAGCTACAGCGGCAGCTGTGGTACAACAGCAGGTGGCCACAACACCGGGAGAACCGAAAGCACAACGGTGCGATAAGGGTGGGGGAACCTGAGCATGTATGGCTGAACCGTTCATTGGCTGCAGTTGCTGCTGAACGCAGTGCCGATGATGGTGATGAATGTGATGACGGTGACACGTGAGGGCAGCAGCATTGGTGGAAGTCGGACCAAGGGTAGGCTGATGTGTCTGCCCGGGGCCGGCATTGGGGTTCACCGAGTTTTGAAGGGCCGTCAAGGAGCCCTTTCGATCGCGTTTTTGACTGTTGTCTTCAGCTGCTTGTTCTCGCAGCCTGCGCTTTTTGCGATAATAGACCTACGGCAGGAAAATGTAGAACTTTGAAGAAAAAGGATCCGAAATTGCATCTTGACGTTTGTCAAATTCGACTATTTTATGCGAATATTTCACGCCAAACCACCTGTACTTTTAAATTACAGGTATTTAAACAAAAAGCTTCCCATACAGTTCAAATGAAACACCCTTTCTGTGCTTAGCTGCCATGTCACTCGAGGGAGGCATGAGGTTTGAGATACTGTCAGGTTGCCAAAGCCTAGACAGGAGCAATCGAGGTGCTGAGGTCGAGTTCGAACAACCGACCTTCCAATCGATAGGTTCGCACCTTAACCACCGTGCTATCTCGAGTATGGTGCACCGAATGATTTTCGGCTTATATCAGTATTGGATCAAACATCTGCGAGAATGATCGATTATAATAGGTTTCACGTTCCACAAGTGGTTAGAGCGTGAATCTACTGACCGGAAGGTCCGTGTTTCGAACCCGACCTCTGCCTCCTAACTTCCCCTGTCTAGGCTTGGGCAACCCGGCAGTATCCCAGCCCCCGTGCAACCTACGGGTTCCATAATGCAAATGGATGTATTTTACACTGTATCAATTTGTGTTCTAGCTGCGATATGGGTTTAAACGGTAAAGCGTAGTGAGGAACCATGAGTAGAAAATACACAGCAACAAGAGTTGGAACGAATGACTGAAGAAGATCATGGGAAGTCAATAACGTGTTTGGGGGCTCGTAACTCTGAAGTTCAGGTTGGCTGGCTTGACGAGGCTACAAAATGCCGCCAGCGAAGTGAGCAAACAAGATGACTGACTGAATATATACCGAAGTCTTCGGATTGGCGACCGGAACCCAGCTGACTAAAAACCGCACAACAATGAACGTTTATTCGACTATAAAGCGGGAATATGGCTTTTTCGGGAAGCGTTATCACTACAGTGTTGAAAGCTAGTTCAAGCGCTTGTGCCCGAGATAGCTGTGGTTGAAATGCCAACTTACTGACTGGAAGACCCATGGTTTGATAACCATCGTCATCATCATCATCATCATCATCGACAGCATGACATCAGTGTTCAACACCGACGCTTCACTGCTGTACAACCATGATTTATTTGAAAGCCTTATTGTTAAGAAAAGAGTAATGGTGATCGGGGAAGGGACTTAGTGATAGCGTACCACAATCATTCCGAGGTGCCTATACCTCCAGATATCCACTCAGGTGATCTGGATAGAAACTTGACAGCAAGGACGCCACTGCCATTGGTTGGCAGCCATATCTTGTAGTGTCTCCAACCAGGCACAGTGAGGATCACGCGGTCCCCATCCTGGAAGGCGAGTAGCACCGACAGCACCCAAGCGTTTCTGATCTCCTTCATGCTACTCCGACAAGTAAAGGGCTGGCCACCTCTCTGTTTACGCCACTCCGAATTGGGCATGGAAAACAGTACTCTCTTCGGCAAACGATGGTTCGGCATACGTAAAACATGTCCCAACCAACGCAGCTTCTGGTGCTGGACACATTCTTCGATGGAAGTACCCGTTACACAACCGAAAACACGCTTTCTAACTGCCTCGTTACGGATCCGCCGACACCAACCCACACGAGCTATGGTTCTGAGACAACGATTGTCGAACACCTGAAGACGTCTCAGGTTCGCTGCTCGAATAGGCCAAGTCTCAAGGCCATACAACAAAANGCGGCCCGAGCCTTGCGGATTCGTGCATTTACCTCATCTGTCACACTGCAATCAGAACTAATACAACTTCCAAGATACGTAAAACGCTCCATTACCTCTCCCTGGATTGTAAGTGGCGAGTTCAGTGACTGCACGTCCACAAGCATGACCTTAGACTTTGTGGGTGCATGTTTTGAACCAAATCATGCTGTCGATGATGATGATGATGATGAACCAAGCCCCGGCATACCTACCGCTTCTGTCTAGGCTTGGGCAACCTGGTTGTACCTCAATCCTCACGCACTGAAAGGATGCTACAGTTGTACGATTATTATTATTATTATTATTATTATTATTATTATTATTATTATAACGTATGCTTCGGATGCTCAGTCGTACCTTGATTGCACTCTCAAGCTGGACGCAAATGGTCCGGATACGAAGGTTCTCACAGCAATCGCTTCGCCACTCGTTGTAGATAGAACCTCCAGCTTCACGATCGATCGGTGCACGAAGTCACAGTGGGAATCGACAGTGCACACACAAAATCCGATATCTAGTATTCTCTTGTATCAAACAATGCAACGATTGGGCTTCTATTGACTGTAATTACATAAAGTGGTCCACTGCAAAAAAGAACGTTTCGGACATTCCAGAGAATGACCCTTATATACTTGCACATCTCAGTAAGACGGCTTTTTCGAGTCAAAGAACCGGTAACTTGAATTTGAGCCGCCGGGCACAAAGACTGGTTCTCAGGCAAAAAAGCAAGACGATGTAACTCAGCCGATTGCGTGAACTCTATATCGTCCTTCTGATATAAGAACCTGAACGATTTGAACATGCGAAGAACAAATAAAAAACGCGCCAGATACAAATCACCACTGACGATTGTCCGGCGGCCAACCGATAAACATAAGCTGCATCGGACAGTAATCAGTCTACGGGATGCGGTACTGAAAAACAAGCTGAGTAAATATGAGTGAAGACCTCATCTCTGATTGCTACTGCAGGCATACACCTTAACAAGAAGCCGACAATCAAAAACGGGAATATATATATGGATTAGGTGGGGGGAGGGGCGAAAATGTCTGCGCCTACACCAGAGAGGAAGGATGGGTTGATGGGAGTTGATGTCATTTGCCTGGTTCCATAATATACAAAATAAGACCTCGAATACAAGCTGAGATTTCACGAATAAGCCATTATTCTTTCTCTCCATCGCACTTATCCGTTATCTACGGCCAAAAAGCGGAACGTGGTGCAGTGTGATCACGTAGATCAGATCGGAGATGTAAAAGAACTAAGAAGGTGTTATTGGAAGACTCGATTGGACCTCAGATAGTCGGATAGTCTCTGAAAAAATAAACAGAAGACCAGTTAAGTCACTCACCTCATTAATGAACTTATACGTCCGTATGAGGTTGACCGACATTTTCATCAGAGGTCGTTGTTCGTGGTCCTTGTTCCCCTGTGGGGCTTTCGTCGAGTCAGCTGGCAGTGCGTCTTTCATTCGAGTGGCTGCGGAGCCAGTACTGCACGAGCTATTCAATGTACAATGAGGTGAACAAGAATGCGCAGATGGACTGGTGCCAGTTGTGGCAGCTACATGTGCACCACCAAGGCGCGCACCAGAAGTATCGGTTGGTGCAGTCCGCGTGAGTGACATTGGACTTTCCGCCTGGCTTCCAATTTCCATCGCCGTTCCACTGGGGAACGCCCCGCAATCCATGTGACATGTGGGTGTGGGGCGGGAATCGCTTCCAGCAGAACCGTGCGAAACGTCCATCGGTTGATGCAGCAACTGATGTTCTTTTGGCGCCGTGCCTTTCCCTGCTGTGTAGGACGGGTCCAGATTGGCGTAGGTGGACACCAATATTGGGTGACTCGCAGGTAGATGGTAATCTGATGTCACGGAAGGAGCAGGAAGACCTTTGCTGGTCGGATCTTCCTCCTCTGTTAGTGTGGCCTTCCCCAGACGAAGTGAGTTTTTCACATCTGTTGACAGAGATTTTGACGCCTCGTCACCTTTTCCACCACGCTGTTCCAACTGTGACAATTGATCGGCTGTGACCAGCTGTCCATAAATGGCAGCCCCGGCCAAGGCAGTCTCTGCAGATGAAATCGAGCATTGCTGTTCAGTTGAGGGTAGCTGTTGTGGTTGTTGTTGTTGTTGCTGCTGCTGCTGCTGTTGGGTTCGATTGTGCATCGTGTAGAGGTTACCAGGTTTGGCGAAGCGCTCACTCGTGTTGGTCATCATCAGGTGAGTGTTGGAAGAGCTATCTGAAGGAAAAGGGAGAGTTTGTGGGTTAGACTTCGAAGGCAATTCCCATACATATGTGACTACTTCGATTTGGTCGGCAATAAAGTCGAGTAAAATATCCAAAGTCACCTAGCCTCGCATGAAACCACAGTCTGGAGAAAACGGAACAATATGCGAGATAGATGAGCGCTGACAAGTCGACCACTCATGGGGTAACTCGAGAAACGGTCAGTCCAAACCGACTGAATGCGTTGTAAATCGGTGCCTCTCCGAGAAATTAACACTTAGCTAGATAAAACATTTATATTGACTATCCAAGTGTGAAGCCGGAATAGTCCATTGGTGTCATGGTGGTGAAGTTTTCTAGCACCTGCCACCAAAATCATAGAAATCAATCTCATGGGAATCGCAAAAAGAATTTCGCGGGACTGACCAGTGTTTACCGCAGAAAAATGGCAAGCGTAAGGAGAATTTATCATACACAGGAATTAGACCTTCCTCAAACTCGTCAATCACATCATGATCCGCGAGACCGACGCCAGATGAGAACACTACCGTACAACGGAAGTGAGATGGCTCAGTGGTTAGAGGGCGAATTTACTGACCGGAAGTTTCGTGGCTTGAACCCGACTTCCGCATCTCAACTTCCACTGTCTAGGCCTGGACAATCTGACAGTATTCCAGTCCTCGTGCTTCCTTCTGGTGCCACGACAGCTAGGCACCGAAAGACGCTACAGCTAAACAGTTTGAATAAAGCCATATTATTGAAAAAAAGAGAGAGGATTAGGACAAGTCTATCACAAACGTTCCAAAAAGGCGAGATAGCTCGTGGCTATAGCACGAATTTACTGGTCGAAAGTTCCGTGGTCCGAACCCGACCGCCGCTTCTCGACTTTCCCTGTCTAGGCTTGGGTAACCTGGCAGTATACCAGCCCTCGCGCTTCCTTCGGTTAGCATGGCGGCTACTATTTGAATATAAAGGGTAGATGATATTAGAGAACTTCTGCGGTATACCCTATCGCGCAAGTGTGTTGAACAGAACTAACCGGTTGACGGAACCGAACGCATTCTTGAAGTCAAGGTACATTAAAATTGTAGGGAGCCTATAAGTATGACATTCCTCCCAGCAAAACAATCTGGTTACAACGGGGGTCAGGTTACCCCCCCCCCTTCAATTACCAAACCCAATGCGAGTACTGTTTTTGAAAGTGGCTATCGTATGGACTCAACCCAGTTGGTTGGGACGGTGTTTTTCACCCAAATAAGAGCAAATAAGTCAAACAATAGCATCTCGTTTATCAGTGTTTTCCGGCATAGCACCAGTTTTCTAAAACGCTGAAATCGGCGGACGGAAGCATGGAACGATCCACAACGAAGGACACTGAGCAAACTGTTTGAGAAGCATAGCTGTCGACTCGATTACGTACGGCGGGCGAGGTGGCTTAGTGGTTAGAGCGCGAATTTACTGACCGAAAGATCCGTGGTTCGAACCCAGCATCTGCATCTCTGCATCTTGACTTCTACCTAGGCTTTGGCAGCCTGGCAGTCTCCAAGTCTTCGTGCTTTCTTCAAGGCACTAAAAAAGATGTTGCAGCCGAACGATTTATTCCGGCTACGTACTAGACTGAAAAAGGAGAACTAAAGCCAATGACACCCTCAGGGAACAGCTGCCACGCACCTTGGAAGAAGCAAAAGGCTTTGACAGTTAGATGCTTAAGGAGCGACTGGCGAATCCGGAGTAAATTGGAATCAATAAATGAAATATGAACAGCAGTCCATTACATTACACGCGCAGATGCAGGTGAGCAAAAGGACACCTTCATAGAGAATGGAACTCTAAACTGTTCGGAAGCCAAAGAAGAAATATCAACAACCGTCGAGGATACTGTGTGAAGACATGGAGGTATATGCGTTTACCTACTCCCCGACAATCTGTTGCTGATCGTACAGGCAATCGTGCGAACCACATTCTCCAGCGAACAAGTAAACAATAACACTCATTCGAACAACAGAAGACTGTACTTTTACCGAAACCAACAGCATGGAGCCAGCACTCGATAGCAATTGAAACGCACACCCGCGCAGTAAACGGGTGTATGTGTTAATTGAAGACTGCTCACTCGTCCATCCAACCCCCCCCCCTCTTGAGCATACCTCTCACATGGACAACATACCTGGGAAGGAGTATGATCGCAACGACCGTAATATTTGCATAATTTATGCAAATTATTCGAACGCACGCACTTGAATGCACGTACGCACACACATACACACACACGCTCACATCTGAATACTGTCGCGTTATGAAAACATCAGCGACAATTACAGCTAAAGCATAGCTGAACGGAACCTGTGAACTCATGATGGTATGTCATCCAAACACATAAACACAACGGGCATTCTTCAGTTAGATGTCTTTATCCGTTTTCCCTTCAGCGGTAAGGAAAACCGGGGGTTCCACGGTTAGTGAAAGATAGGGGAATAAGACCTGAATGAAGGCGTCTTTGAGGGTACAAGGTCTATAAACCGCTATAAACCGCACAAACGGGGGAATACAATGGGACAAGAATCCAGAAAGCTACAGAGAGTTAAAGAGGATCTTGAGCAAGCCAGGAAAAGTATGATGTTATTATCTGCATCTGGATCTGGGAAGCAGGAAGCATGAAGGAAGCACGGGGGCTGGGATACTGCCAGGTTGCCCAAGCCTAGACAGGGCAAGTCGATAGGCAGAGGCCGGGTTCGAACCACAGACCTTCCGGTCAGTAAATTCGCGCTCTAATCACTTGGTTCATCTCACCTCCATCTCTGGAACTGGGGCGAAACACACTCGAAGAAAAATCCCAGGATATGTAGCAAACACTTCCGGATTGGATTTGGATATGGTGAGTACCAATATTGTCTCCAATAGTGAAACGGCAACCGGAGGGACTGTATTCCCTTCCACTCACACAAAGATCGGCTTCTGTCTCATAATGTACTCAAAGCCGAACCAACCAGCTGAGGACAGGCATTGGTTGGTGCATGAACGTAAATTTGAGAAAGCTCAGTGGTTAAGGTGCGAACTTACGGACCAGAAGGTCCGTGGTTCGAACCCGACCTCAACCTCTCGACTGCTTCTATCTAGGATTCGGCAATCTGGCAGTAGCTCAGTCGCCATCCACACAAAAGTGGTGTGCACACGGAGGAAGTGAACATTTATCAGGATTGAAAAAAGCCGAAATGGAGACAACCAAGCAAGAACTGATGTTGCTAACTAGCTCGCGCTACTTAATGGCAGTAACCTTTCTATTCAAGCGAAAACCACAGTACGATCAAGAAGCGTGAAATGGCGGACAGTACATGGCTGTAGCAGTTATACCTACCTTCCGGGATGGCGCGGCGAACTGAATACCGATAACCATCACTCAGAAGGCGTAACCCTTCTGTGTATGACGGCCCCATCACCGATTACACGGTGCGGAGTGAAAAATATGGAGAACCTGAGTGTGACAGATGGTGGTCAGAGTGCAAGGTACGTACACGGTAGATACCGTTAAGGAATATAGTAATCATTTTTTGACGGAGCACGTTCCTCACAAGTTTCCTGAAAACCACCCGACAAAACATGACCAGTTTCACCCGTCTTAGGGCTTACAAGATAGACGAGTTTTCATCAAATGTATGTTCTCATTGAACACCGAATCGCAAGCAACTGGCAAAATATACTCATATGCTATCTACCCCACCTCCCCGAATCATCGGTGAACGAAACTGTGGCAGCCACAACCACTGTACGACAAGTACGCGGTTATTACAGCTGACAATGACGAAGATGATGATATGCGATTTCAGCTGGTGTTAGGGAGCTCGTCAGCTGTAGCACCCTTCGGGTGCCTAACTGCCATGCTAACCGAAGGAAGCATGAGAGCTTGAATAATGCTACTTTGCCCAAGCCTAGACAGGGGACGTCGAGATCTCTGCACACTGTAACAAATGGGGCACCGACCGACCTACTGCCAGTCCGTTTTTTTTTGGTTGAAGGATAAAAACGAGAGATTTTGCTGAGTTCCCGTTAATGAGTGTTTTCAGGATCATCACCAATGCATCCTTGCTGTAAACAGAATATACTAACAACCTGGTGAACACTTAAGGGTTCCATTGGCATCTTTCATCCATGGTTATTGGACTGCTCCCAGAAGAAGATTGCTCTAAAGTATTAAAATCACAAATAGTGCATTTGGGTTGGGTTCTTAACATTGTGACTCGATTTACAAGCTTCTCACCCGATAATTGACATCCATCGTTTTTCGAGATCAATCGCGCTTTTCGGTCATTAAAGCCGCTTAGGTTGACACTGGTACTTGTAATTCCTTCGGCCGCAGCGCGTTTTGTGATCCAAGGTAATACGGAACCGCCGCTAGTCGTTTTGGGGACGGGCAAACCTCTACTCATACCGGCACACGCGAAACATCGGTCACGTGGAGCCGGCTCGTGGAATCAACAGAAGCGGTGAAAATATCACTTGAAATCTTCATAAGATCCAACAAGTCAACCCAAAGCAGCACAAGATGTTCGCTGCTGTCGATGTAAGAGGCAGCTGGAAGAAACAAAGAAAAGTGGCGGTAAACACACCCGAAGTAAAATAAATGTTGGAGTTCCAAGGGACGTGAGTTTAGTGGGACACCGGGAAGAAGACAATACCCACTGCTAACAGTCGTTGTCAGCTTCGTAGGTTTTTTGGCAGGGACTTGCCTTGGCTGGTTAATTTATCCCCAAGAGTGAACAGGAAAGTGGTACATAGCAGCGATAAAGTGAACCAACGAAATAATAAATTAGATAGCAGGTAAATTCGTAGCGAGAGCGATTGTCGTCAACCAGGAGAATGATATCATATGAGCTTTGCGGCAGGACTATCGCACAGGAAATGCTAATCCCCGTCATAAGCTTGAATGTAAAAGGCCAACTATGTTGCTTCCTGAGCACCTAGTTGCCACGCAAATATAAGACACACGAAAACTGAGGTATGAAGACCATGGCAAAGCCTGGAAAGACTAAGTCGAGATTTAAGTCAAAGCAAAGGTCTCATAAGCAAAGCCTCATGAGCCTTTCGAGTTTAACATGGCCCAGTGGTTAAGGCGCAAACTCACCGTGGTCCGTAGCTAACATCTCCACTTTCGTGCTTCCTTCTGGTGGCATGGCAGCTAGGTACCAAAGGGGTGCTACAACTGAACCATTATTATTATTATTATTATTATTATTATTATTATTATTATTATTATTGTTAAACGTCTCAGGACTGAATGCCGGTGTGGGAGCATCTGAGTTGCCTCAATCTCCAAGGGTCGGTGAGCTGCGCATAGTGAGAGGTGAAAGGACATTGAAAACACATCACCGCCCAGGCGTGTGGATGCGTAACCCAAAGAGGCGCAATTCATAAAAAATGGCCACTAAATCCACAGACAGGGACAGTTTGACGAGCAGCACCGTCACTGGCACCGATAACCGAACAATCGTTGCTTAGCTACCATGCGATCGACATCACCATCAACGACAACACCTGAGAACAACGATACCCCACTGCTACATAACCATGTTGATTTAGCCTTATTGTACGAAGTGGGAAAGGGGCACGATCCTGATGGGCAAAATATCCCACCAAATAATGGAAGGAATGGTGAGCTCCGACTCCAAAGAACGATTCACCGCAAGACCCCTTCACTATTATCAACGTAAAAAAAAAGTCCCGACCCCATTTAATGAAAAAAATGGGCCATCTGTAGCAATTAGTTCGTCTTGCACTCATATGACGATTCATATGCAACATTTTCATCGCTGCAACTTCGGCTTTGAAGTCGGCGCCGTTCGTTCGAGTTTAGTTGCATTGGGATGAGTCTGCTACATTTCGGACAGATTCAGTACAGTATCAAAAAACGAACGTGATCACTTTCCTCAAATTCGGGTGTGTCCTCCGCAACTTGCCGCAACAAACCTTGCGGACCGGGCCTAATGAAATACCTGTGCATATGATCGGGAAGGAAAATGCATGGCTAATAGGGCCACATTTCTCCATTCGCGATAATCCGCAGTAGTCGGTCAATGCTCGAAACCAAGTGGACTGTTAAGGGGTTTTTGTTACTTTGAGTGCGACAACGAGAGATTCAAATAGCCTTTTCTTCCTAAATTTGCAAGACGTAAATCTTAGATTCACTTGTGAGCGAAAATCAGTCGCTAGTTAACAATGATCAGGATGAACACTTCCCACGTTTCCCGAACGAGCGTCTCCTGCAGAGCTGTATTCGGCCCCCAACCAGATTGTGCGGCTTGCGAAGGCAGGCACTTTCGTTAAGAAGCTAGTGTTTGATTTGGGAGGATCAGCCTAGGGCTGGCGATCCTAATAACATTGACCAACAGAAACAGCTGTGTCAATTTACAAGGTAAAACCACTGATGATCAACTTCATGGTTGTAGATGTAATTCATTGACAGTGCTGATGGTCAACAGCATCTAAAGTGTTAGCTCATTAAAACGTACCGACTCCTTGGAGCAAGTTACCGGTCCCAGTGGTAACCTCAGTTCACTTCTTGGTCGGACTGCCTAGCTGCTTTTGTGCGTTGGGCTGGGCTGGAATAAGACGTTGGATCAATCTCACCGATGATATCTTGCATCGACATGACGTTCAGGTGTGCTTATTTCAATGGTTTAGATGTAGATGCCACACTCTTGGCCATTTTCTCCAGGGACATAAGCCAGAAGTATACAACCTGGGGAAGTCCCCCCCACTAAGCACCAGTTACCACTACTGATGTATTGCTGTAAGCGATGATGGTTAATAGTCTTTTTTGAAGGGGCAGTGGTCCAAGACAGTGGTTACGGAAGTACCCAAGCCTAGACAGGAGTAGTCGAGAGGCAGAGGTCGAGTCCGAACCACAGACCTTCTGGTCATTAAATTCGCGCTCTAACCACTGCCTTATATCAAGAGAGATATAAGACAACTGTGCCCGCTGGAGGAAGAAGTGATGAACATGACTTGATTGTTTCAATTGTTAGCGCTCGTTCCTGAGAATTACTCACGACTAGGAGTATAGTATTCAGTTCATGCTGCATTCCTACGAAAATTTTCACCCGCCACACTTTCTTGATTTAGCAATGCCACCCAACTTGGCACGCGATAGCAATGCGTGTGACCTTGATTACTTTAAGGTACGTTTTTGTTTTATTCATACCACAGGATTAGTCTTTCTAAGTATTCCACTGTTTAAGTAGTTTAGTCAGGCTGTAACACAACTTCAAGTATGTAACGGATTTGTGCAGCTGGCCACTCCGTTGCTGGTGACATTACTGTAGGTACATTCTCAAGGAATGACATCCATTCGTCGCCGATTGCTGTCAGCTGTAGTATCTACCATCAACTCGGCCGCATGCACTTCCAAATCTTCGAACCAAGGCGCTCAGTTCGTCTACCAGCGTATAACCTTCACCTGTAGCACCCCTTCGGCGCCTAGCTGCCATGCCACCAGAAGGAAGCACGAGGGTCGAGATACCCCCAAGTTTCCCAAGCCTAGACAAGAGCGGTCAGATACCCCCCAAGTTTCCCAAGCCTAGACAAGAGCGGTCGAGATACCCCCAAGTTTCCCAAGCCTAGACAAGAGCGGTCGAGATACAGGGGTCGGATTTGCACCATGGACCTTCCGGTCAGTAAGTTCGCGCCTTAGCCGCTAAGCCTTCTCGAGCTGGACTAGCTGTCTATTGGTGGGTGCTTTTCCTTGGGAACGAGGAATCAAGACCTATGTACGGTTGTTGAACTGACCATCCTGTCGATTTTTTCTTGCCTAGTAACCTAGAAGCCTCTGCGGCTGGTTCCACCAGGGCCACTGTTGTCTTAAGCCGCCGAGCTGAACAGCTACTGCTCGAAAGGTTGCTCACCGATAGTTCGCTTGCGTACAAAGGTGACCCACTCCAGATAACCGAAGGCCACGTCGACTGGACGTATGTTGCGGGTCCGATACGAGCCATACGAAGACATGCATTGGCTAGTGAGAATGTGAGTAAATCAGGATCGCACACTTTACCTCGATAATTTCGTGATAATCCCATAAATGTAGTTGTAATAACTTTTGCTTGCTCTTATTAGACTGTTTAAAGCACCCTTTCGGTGCCTAACTGCCATGCTACCAGAAGGAAGTGCGAGGGATGGGATGCTGCTAGGTCGCCCAAGACAGGGGAAGTTGTGAACTTGGTTTCATATGGTTGATGAAGTAGTGCCTGATTATTCTCAATTCTCTAGACCTGGTACGCAAAGTAACTTCCAGAAACGTAGTGAACTTCCAAACAGACCTCAAGAAAACTACCCACACCCTGTTGGTTTTGTGACGGCTGGCACTTTTCACACCAGTCACCACCCGAAACACAAGTGCAAAGTGTAATGGAAGAGACCACAAGGAAACATGTTGCAGAGATAAAGTCAAGGGATCGCGCAAACATTGGCCTAGGAAAAATGCATTCACAAGCCTTTGTCAATACACCCAGGGGGTATCAATAGTGCACCGGTTACCCTCCAGTTTCAAGAAGATTCTGACCTCAATATGGTTTCCCAACGTGCCTCGAACGTAATTGAAAGGTTACCTGTTGAACAAAGTGCACCGTTTGTATTGTCTGGTGGAAGCCTCAAACTGACCAGCGAATTGAGCTACCCAGTGACATTCAACTCAATAGTGCTTGCTACCCCACCAACTACTACATTAGGTCCAATATCCTAGCCCCAGATTAGTGTGATAAGCTTCAACGCTTGGAGCAAATCCTTGATACTGCTTGCAATCAGGCTTCAGGTGACGGCAGTACGCTTCCGAGAGCAACACATCCTGACGACTTTGTGGTTGCTACAGTTACAGCCAAACGGAAGGCCAGTCGGAGCATGCGCGATACAGCATTTATTCAGTTCCTGATTCGGACAGCGATAGCTCTCGCACTTTAGTCCACCTTGGCAAATCCTGCCGACGGCATGCAACACGGTACTCGCGGCTCCTGACCTTCAATCCACAGTTCATTGGTCAGACAGAGTTGAAGCGGAGTATGTGTTAAACATTGGTGTTATGTTGTCTCTTGTGATGATGATGGCAGAATGTTACACTGTTATCCAAAAAGCCAAGGACCGGCATAAGGTACAAAGCGGCATTCACATTAGGGCCAGGTGCTCATTCGGGAATATGGTGGACGCTGTTCACGGTGGCGGTCAGGTCGATTGCTACGTCAAGCAGGCGGCTCAACTCATTTTTCAGGAGTGTATATGCCAGGGGAATCAAATTTACAGCAGATTTATGCCCCACAATGGGACCACGTCGCATAAAAACAAAAATTACATCGTTCATCTGTAACACCCATTTTGGTATTTAGCTGCCATACCACCCGAAGGAACCACGAAGGCTGGAATACTGCCAGGTTGGCCAAGTCTAGGCAGGGGAGGTTAAGATGCAAAGGTCGGGTTCGAACGACGGGCTTTCTGGTCAATCAATTCGCACTCCACCACTGAGCCGCATAAAAACAAAAATTACATCGTTCATCTGTAACACCCATTTTGGTATTTAGCTGCCATACCACCCGAAGGAACCACGAAGGCTGGAATACTGCCAGGTTGGCCAAGTCTAGGCAGGGGAAGTTAAGATGCAAAGGTCGGGTTCGAACGACGGGCTTTCTGGTCAATCAATTCGCACTCCAACCACTGAGCCATCTCGCAAAGAACACTGGACAATTGTGATACATCCGGAGTGGACAGCGCGCCCACAGCACCAGACCCCAGATCAGATGAGATCCGATCGGGGATGACAACAGCCTCCTAAGTCTTCAAGGTCAAATCGAAGTTGCAGCCGAATGAACAGAAACCCCATGCATGAGACCAGCCGCTCTAGGTAACCGCACGATATTGATTGGGCGGTGTCACAAGCCGACCGCAGACCATTCGACAGCATGTCCCAACCAGCCAAAATGTGAGCCAGTCAGGATCGAGGATTTAAGGTCGACCTTTCTTGCCCTGTCACGAAGACTCATACATGAAATCGTGGAAACTTCCGTGACAACCCAGTAAATAGGACTGTAACAACATTTCAAAACTGAGGGGATACTGGTAACTCATGTTGCAATAATGGCCGTCAGTTTGCTGCTGCACTGAGCAAGTTGGTTGCAAACATTTCAGTACCGGTCGGTGACATAATCAGTGCGTCGAGGTTGAAAGCTCCGTTTCAAATTGATTTCTTCCCGACAACTTTGCCGAAGGAGAGGTGTCAAGGATGTCAGTATACCAAGTATTCTTTGACTGTTAAATTATTATGAATTTAGCGAAATACACACCTTTTTGGTTTTTCGATATGCTCACTTGAAATCCAGACGAATCTCCCGTTTATGATGAATGACCCAAGCCTTGCAGATTATGTCACACTACAATCAGAACCAATACAACTTCCAAGATATGTAGGACGCTTCACAAATTCGAGTGCCTCTGAATTTTAAATGGCGCGTTCAGTGACCGCATGTCCAGGAGCATGACGTTATACTTTAGAGGGTGCACACCAAAGGACGGGGTGACTGGTTAGTGTATCCAAAAACACCTATGCGTACTCTTCCATTCCGAAAACGAGAACAAGGTCTTCTGCATATTCTAGATCGACAGGGTTTTCGTCAGAGGCTGTTTGAACACTAGAGTTTTGAAGATCTTTCAGCGTTTGTCTCATTACCTCATTCATCACGAAATGACATAGGAATGAATAGGAAGCTTTTGAAGAGCTCTCAGTATAGTCTCACACATCTGGAATTCTGAGAACACAAAACTTCTGGGGCGTTTTTTGATGCATATGGTAAACAAACCGGTCAACCGAGTCGAATGCGCCTTGGAATTCTACGATTACTGTAGCTGCGAGTCGTTTGTACGTACGACGTTTTTCTGATACCTGACGGAGTGTGAAGATCTGGTCAAACAAGTCATGACAGGCCGGAATCCAGCTTGCTGCTCTCGATGAAGCAAGAGTGAAGCCGACAGCCTTGCTACGACCAAGGTCTTAGGTCGATACGAGTCATTTTTTGAAACTAAACACTATCACTGACTCTCCTCAGTTGTCTGCGAGTCTCCTTTTCCCAGATGCAGGCAAACATATCAGAAGAGCCCTGACTGAGGAATTCAACCTCATCTTTAAGCAATGCGGATGGGATGACATCCGGATCAGAATCGCTTGAGATAATATATGCAGCCATAAACCTCAGAGGTCGTAGTGGGCTCCACGTTCATTTTCCAGGTTTCTACGTTAGTTGTAGGCTCCAAATGAGTGGCAGCTGATGGCCATGATAGATGCTGTTCGAAGTATTCGGTCCACCGGTCAAGGTGTTTTTTACTCAAGATGGTCACCCATTCTGATCCTTGATGGTTTTACCCACAGATAGTTACCAGAGCCCAATCGCGCGTGTAAACTGAAATGATCTTCGGGCATTACCAGCCTTTTGGGCCCCTTCCAATTCCTTGGCTTTCCGTGTCCACCAGACTTCACGATCGACCCGCACACTCACTTTCACTTGACGCCCGACAAATTGTCGCATCAAGCTATGTTCGGAGCCGGCTGGAATATTTCTCCGAGATTTGAGGCCACGACCAGCACGCCGTTGAAGGACACCATGTGGCCGGACTACTTTAGCCATTTTGGAAGTTAGTACTGCATAACAACAGTCTGCGTTCAGCACATAGCTGAAGCAGTCGTTCATATTGACCGTACGTACCGAGTCCAGTCTATGTTGACCAACTAATTGAGTCTTAGGTGCGCTAAACCGGTCCACTTGTGCATTCATATCTCCGGCAACCACGACGATATCTGAGCTTTTAGCCCGCCGCAAAAAGGCATTCAAGGCGTCGTAAAACTTGTCCTCGATGGTTTCTGAACTACAGTCGGTTGGGGTGTAAGCGGACACAACAAACGGACATCGATCGACTTCCCCCTTGTGAGACTCCCTCACAGACGTTGCCAGACGAACCGCACAGAGACAACTACCAAAGGGTATCCAGTCAAGCAAGGATCCTTCCACTCGGTGACTCAGGACGATACGAACCCCTGCACATCCTGCCGCAGAAGCCTCTGGGTCGCCAGAGGTGAACAGCCGGAAGCGGCTGGAGAATGGGCGGTTGGCTCAACCACTGTGCTTGCATCCTGAATACTTATTTCTGATACACAGCACACATCAATGCCAGGTGAGTCCAATGTGAAAGCAAGAGCAACTTGTTCACCTGCTTACTCTAGAGTGCAACCAGATAGACTGGTCGCCAAGGCCTGAGGACGTCGGCGTTCGATGGCCGGCGGATGTTTGCAAAACTGATGCAAGATGGACGGAGCCATCAGTCCTAAGTGCTAGGGCTATTGATGGGATGGAAAGAGCAGAAAGAAAAAGTACGTGAAAGAGAAAGAAGGAAGGAGTCATCAATAACCTGTCCTCGCTTACACACCCTGCTGTATGCGGCGAGTAAGGTGACCCGGTTAATGGCACCACGTGACGGCCCATGTGGCATGAGTTTATTTGTGCATGCGCAATCCATAGTTGTACGTGGGCTGAGATACTACCAGGGCGCGGTTGACCAATCTGGTATGAGAGACTGCGAGCGTCGCGCGGACAACCCCCAGTAAAGCTCAATGAGCCACCCATCATAGCACGGTGAGGTCCCGTCTCTTCGTGATGATTCACAGGAAGTCTCGTACGGCGGTGCATTTGCGACCGTTGAAGTTTGCTTGTGCAGCTTGGCGGTTGGTATGCAGATTGACAATCGGTGCTCCTGGGGGGTTGGGTGGGAAAAACTGTCGGTGTGTTCGACTCTCTTTAGGAAGCGCAGTGGAAAAAGTCCCAAACTCACCTGATAGCTGCTGATACGCTGCCGATCACGCTCCACATGTTACACTGGATTGGTCACGTGCTCCGCATGACAGTCGACCAACTTCCTTGAAGGGCTGTTTTCGCACAACCTCGTGAGCCATCGAAGGTCGAACGGCAACAAGGCATGACAGCCATTATCAGCAAACTCAACCGCGCTGGTCATTGCCTTCCCCCCGGATGGGGACCCCGAGATGGCACGAATAAATGGTTAGAGACACTGTCAGACGTCGCCCAGTCAAGCCATCAATGGCGCTCATGCATCTAAGTATTTGCCTTCATAGCTCCCTACTCAATCTCCCTAATAAAAAGTTAATTGACAGCGCCGTACTTACGCATCTATTACATCAGCGACCGTCTCCAATAAGTAGCTACCCAACCCATCCCCATCCAACCCATCACCAGCAAACGAAACTGTGGCAATTATAACTGCTATGCGGCAAATACGCCGTTCTTAAAAGCAAGTCGTTCAGCTGTGACACCCTTTCCGTACCTATCTGCCATTCCACTCGAAGGAAGCACGAGGACTGGGATACCGCCAGATTGCTGAAGCCTAGACAGGGGAAGTCGAGATGAAGAGTTCGCGTCCCAACCACGGGCCTTCCGGTCAGTAAATTTGAGCTCTAAAAACAAAGCAACCTTGGCCCGGAGAGAGTATCGCTGCCTCAGAGTTAGTTGGAGGGTGAGAATATTACTGACGCATCCTCTTGCAGGACGAAATCCAGTTTGGTGGTTTTCACGGATCCAGCTCTTCCCGTTTCCAGTCAACCTTCGAAGGATAAAAACCTCCGACACCACAGAAGTCCTGCTAATGCCAGTGGTCTTCACACAAAGTCCACGAACCCTTTTAGAAGACAGGAATAACTGTCAACATCCTCCATTTGGCAGACACTTTCCCTTCACTCCACATTTACTGACCGGAAGGTCCGTGGTCCGAACCCGACCTCTGCTTCGCAACTTCCCCTGTCTAGGCTTAGGCAACCTGGCAGCATCTCAGCCCTCATGCTTCCTTCGGGCAGCATGGCGGTTAGGCACCGGGTGTTACAGCTGAACGATCTTTTCGATAATGCAGCAAAGAGATTTGTTAGATAGGTCACCAGGTATTCTCCGCCTTCTTTGAAGAGAGCCGGATACAGGCCATCCGGTCCTGATGCCTTCTCATGTTTCAGTATGGATATTTCATACCTTATTTCTTCTTCTGGCGGCCGATTAAGGTTTACATTGCATTCGCCTGTACGTACTAACTCCAGAGACTGTTGAGGGAGGCCGGCTAAACTATTCTTCGAAGTGTTCGGTTCATCCTTCCAGTCGAATTTTCTGCGATTGAATTGAGCCAACTTTCCCATTTATCGTCACACTGACAATTGCCTACCTAGAGCCGG